TTTGACTTTTCATTTGACTTTCATCTTGGACCACACTTACTCAAAAAATATACACTACAGAAGAAATCTGTAAATGTGTATGTGATTTCTTTGACTGCTAAGAAGAATTGTGATGCTAACGTTTATTGAGGCTGACTGCGTGGCAGAGACTATACTAAATGTTTTACCTGGATTATCTCATGGATCCACACCTGATGCTGCAGAGCTGTGAGTTACTACTTCTCTATCCCTTCTTAGCAGAGGACAGACAGGCTCAGGGAGCTCAGGAAATGTGTCCACAGCGAGATGGGTAAGAAGGGATGTTGTAGGGATCAACAGGCTGGGTCAGTCTGACTGCAAAGATTTTTTTTTTTTTTGAGAGGTAGTCTTGCTCTGTTGCCCAGGCTGGAGTGCAGTGGCACAATCTCAGCTTACTGCAGGCTCTGCTTCCCAGGTTCATGTGATTCTCCTGGCTCAGCTTCTCAAGTAGCTGAGACTACAGGCATGCGCCACCATGCCCAGCTAATTTATATGTATATTTGGTAGAGATTGGGTCTCACCATATTGGCTAGACTGGTCTCAAACTCCTGACTCAGGCAGTCTGCCCACCTCAGCCTCCCAAAGTGCTGGCATTACAGGAGTTAGCCACCGTGCCCAGGCTAACTCCAAACTTTAGAGAGAGAGTTAGATTGTGCTTTTATATTAGTGATTTCCAGCTGAGAATTAACAGCTCCCTCTAATTCACTTCTCTGTGGAAACTTCTTTCATTAAGTTCTAACATTGTTGTGGGGAACAATAAAATGTCTTTAGACACCACGTCTCAATCTTGACCACACTTTGGAATTACCTGAGAGTTTTCAGAAAAATACTGGGCCTTGAACTTCTCATCTCAACTGATCCCCCTGCCTTGGCCTCCCAAAGTGCTGGGATTACAGGCATGAGCGACCACACCTGGCCCCCCAAAATACTGCGGTCTCACCCTCAGGTGTTCTGTGTTCATGGAGTATAGCCTATACATGGGGATTTTTAAAAACCCCAGATGATTCTAATGTACAGCAGAGTTTGAGGATTCCTATTTTGGAACAATGTAAATTTTTAAATTCTAAATTCTCTCTTTCAGTAAAAAAGTAATGTTTTTATTACAGAAGTAGTGCATATTTGCTTTAGAAACTACAGAAAGTCTGGCATGGTGGTTTACACTTGTGATCCCAGCACTTCGGGAGGCTGAGGTTAGAGGATGGCTTGAAGCCAGGAGATAGAGACCAGCCTGGGGAACATAGGGAGACCCCATCTCTACAAAACTAAAAATAAATCAGCTGCATGAGGTGGCATATACCTGTGGTCCCAGCTACTCAGGAGGCTGAGGTAGGAGGATCACATGAGCACAGGAGGTTGAGGTTGCAATGAGGTGTGATTGAGCCACTGTACTCTAGCCTGGGCAGTAAAGCAAGACCCTATCTCAAAAAACAAAACAAAACCATAGCCAGAAAAAGTTACTATTAAAATTACCTGTCATCCTTTCACCGAAAGGTAGCAGTGTAGTGTTTAGCTATGTATACATTTTTTTGCCCCATGCACATTTATAGATTTGACATCCTACCTACCTTCTATAGATTTTTATATTTAATGCAAAATTGTTTTATGTCTGTTTTATGTATTTATATGCATTGCCAGACTAAGAAATTTTTGACTCTTACATAATGGTGTTGTTGGATCAATCCTTATAGGCTAGTAATTCCCAAAGTGGGGCAATACTTCTGTTAATGGAGAGTTTGTATATTGTCTGAGTTAGCACTTAGGGAACTGATTTAGATGTCTGTCCTTTGGGCACCATCTTCTGTAGTAGTTTTTTAGGCGAGGAAGTCCTTGGTTTACTTCTTGTCTTCCTTGTAGCCTCTTTAAGGCAAAGCCCACTTGGTTTTTATCCCTGGGTCCTGGCATGTAGTACATGCTCAATAAATTATTGAATGGATGAACAGACAGGCAGATGTACCCCAGAATCTGAGGTGTGGATGGTGGTTATGGTTTGAAAAAATTACTTAAGTTCAGGTCTGTCTGAAAAAAAATGATTGGTGAATATTGTGGTAGGAAGGGACAGAGTGGGGTTGAGATAAGGACAAGGACTAGGAGATATTTTAGGATAGGTGAGCTTCAGCTCTTCCAGGAAAAGTAAAACATCTTCTAGTTTCAGAAATGTCCTGGACCTGTCCTCCTCACCAGGCCTAGTTTTCACTGGTAAATAACCCCTCCCCCCAGTATGGTAGAGGGATTGTGTTCTATCCTTCCACCTCCCCTATCTTACTCACTTGTAGGACATCTTATTCTCAAAATAAGAACTAAATACATTTTGGAGTTTGCTTCTCCCCGGGTATGTTCTAATAAAAATTTCGATGAGAAGCTGCTGCAGTATAATGCATTTCAGCTAGGGATAACCAGAGCCTGTCAGTCAGCAGCTGTGTCTGTCCCATCCTTTCCAAGGAAGGTCTGGGATGAGGAAGAATTTACATAAAAGGTGGGAGGGAACTAGAGCATTGAAGGACTGCTGAGGGATTACCCCAGGAAGGAAAAGGTCCATCTGAGAGGCGTTAAGGGTTTGTTGGTAAGCCAGGCTTGTCTAGTGAGCCCAGACAACTCCGCACTGCTCGGTATTTTTGGCACTATAGCCACAAATCCAGTATGATTTCTTTTTCATATTGACTTCTTATAATGTCACTTTATAATCAGTAGATTTCTTAATCACAAGGCCTATAAATCAGAAGAATTTTGCCTTTGAAAAATGTAACTGTATTAAATGTGCTGGGATCTTTCCTTGCCCATTACAGTTCACTTTAAAACATTTTTATTGAAAAGGAGAAATTGCAAATGCATGCATTTTACTTTATTAGTATATAAACACACATGATTATATTGCTGAAATCATTTAGAATTGAGGCATTTTTGTAATTCCACGTATACAAAGAAAAATTAGAAGCTGTTCTTTATCCTTTCTCCCCTTTTTGTTGAATTCACAATGACTTTACAGACATTTAATGTAAAGGCACTAAAGACAGTTAAAACCATTAGTCATCATGCTTTACTTAGAATTCAGCAAAGAACACAGTTAAAGAACAAAATAGCAAGCCTGGTTTATTTGTCTGAAAAATGCTTGTCTCATGATACTTTATCTCATATGAGGGAAGGAGAGGGAATCCTTCGAGTTACATCGTATAAAGTAGCAAAAAACAAATACAATAAATGCTAGAGACAATATTTATTCAGAAAACATCAGCGAGTCCAGTGAAACGTGGAGACTGTGAAATGCTGTGCCAGTCATTAGAGCCAGGAGTGTATTATGATTTAATGGTACCTCTCTGCTGCATCTCATGAGCTGTCCTAGAAAAACATTTTGAAGCAATAAAGCATCCATTTGGCTCCTAAGTAATGAGAGGCATTGTTCTTTGCATTAACTATTTATTCAGGAAGAGAAGTGACCAACTGTTAATAAGCTTTGTCCAAAGAGGGTCGTGGAAAACAAGAAAATGCAAAAGTGAGGTTCTCTTCAATTTCATATGCAATTAACAAATATCCAGAGCTGACTGATTGGTGCTCCTCTTCCATGTGACTTTTGGCTGGCTGTATTTAAGGGTGAGTGCCTGTCAGATGTATTCAAAGCTTCTGGGTTCTGTAGCCTAAACCCATGACAAATGAGAGGCGGCAGTGACTCGTGAGTAGCTAAGACTGGATTAATCTCTCTATTGTTTTGAATAATGGACTTATTTTTTAAGATGAATAGTAATGGTTTAGGCTTTTACTAGTTTACTCCTTTTGGGAAGGATTCCTTCTTTTTCTTTGTTTTAGATGATTATTGCTTTTTCATTACTTGTGAAATCTGCTCTATAATGCAATGTGATGTTTAGACTTACCATGTGATCAAGAGGCTTTTAACTTGAGAAAAATTCTTATTTGCTATATAAATAGGTATATGCTTTATTCTTTGGAAATAGTTTCTAGGTACGAATGCAACATTTTGCTCTTGTTCTGCGAGTAAATAAATGATCTCTTCTTGACAGTAAATGGGTAGGATTTAGTAACTTCAAGATTACAACCAAAATATTGTATTTACAAATAAATAGGGGCTTCTTTCAAGTCATTTTGGAATCTTACTTTGAAGCACTTTGGTGCTATGACAGCGTGAAGTTTTCAATCCACTTGCTTTAAGGTCCTTAATGTAATTAAGTTGCCTTTTTAATGACATGAGAAAAGGTGAAAGTTGCAATTGTTTTCTTCTCTAAAGCCAACAAAAGGATGTTTATGGTAATTCTTCGTCCCTGCTCTCACTAAATAGTAATACAGTAGAGTTCTACACAATGGAGGAAGAATCTTCATAAATCGTTAAAATAGGCAGTGGAAATTATATGTAAACTCAATTTATTTAAATATTAACAGAATATTCTTGATACGGTAATAAGTCAATTAGGTGGTCAGGTGCGGTGGCTCATACCTGTAATCCCAGCATTTTGGGAGGCCCAGGTGGGCAGATCATGAGGTCAAGAGATTGAGGCCACCCTGGCCAACATGGTGAAACCCCATCTTTACCCAAAAAAAAAAAAAAAAAAAAAAAAAAAAAAAAAAAAAAAAAAAAAAGGAAATGATTTAGTGTTGCATTCCTTTGATTTTTACTTTAAAAATATTTGCCATATTGAGAACTATGTATTCCTGCTAAGCTTACTATGAATCATTTTGAAGTGTATTTAAAATCAGTTTTCAAGATATATTCCATAGAATAAGAATGCATTGTTTATTTGGGTTCATAGCCTTAGAAAAAAGAACTAAAGAGCCCAAGTCAGTAGCAAAAGGATCAAAGACAGAAAAACTCCTTAGGCTTTTTCTTTCCTAGACCACATTATTTCTGTATACAGAGGACAAAAGCATAAGAAATAAAGGCTCAGGTTAGAAATGGAATTACCTCAGAATATGTTAGGTTTTGCGACAATCTTTCTCTTTGGGTATTAACAATCATTAGATTGGATTATCCCTTTCAGATCATCACTCCATTCAGAAGGCTAATGCTGTGTGCTGAGAACAGAAAGGAGATGGAAGATTGGATCAGCTCACTGAAGTCTGTACAGACCAGAGAACCTTATGAGGTAATTAGCATCTTTTCTTTCATCTCATGTTCTTAGAGAATAAATGTTAACCGAAGGGCCAGAGCTCTACTGTGCAAACATAAGTATGTGTAAACTCATTCGGCAACTTGTTTAAATCAGATTTTGAACTTCTTAGCTTAAAGCGAAGTGCTTTGGTTTTGAAAGTGATAGATGTGAAAATCTGACTATAACTATATGCACTCCAAACAGCTCAGCATCTGTAGTCTTGTTTGCTGGTTTGGCACATCTGTCCTCACATCTCATTTCCAGGTGGCCCAGTTTAATGTGGAACATTTCTCAGGGATGCACAACTGGTACGCCTGCTCCCATGCCCGACCCACCTTCTGTAACGTGTGCAGAGAAAGTCTTTCTGGAGTCACCTCCCACGGCCTGTCCTGCGAAGGTACTATAGCACCTAGCATGTGTTTCTCCCAGCAGTGACCATACTGTAGACATGCTGGCACTGGTTTTATTGTAGCTTAAAATTGAGCTCTCCACATATAGGACTAGCTTGGGAAATACTTTTGCTCAGGAAAAAAATAACAGTCATTTAAAGGACACATAAATCAAAATACAGCATTTTACCCTCAAGAAACTGGGAACTACTATCTAAAAAAAAAAAATCTTTGGACCTTGTAATAATCATTCTGGTATTCTTTATTCTGGTTGATTACGGAGAGCAAAACTTTTTGTGAGGACAGTATTTATTCTTTGGCAGAATTTCTGATTGTTAATTATATTGCATTGTTTTAAATATTATTTTCTTTCATTTGTTTAATCCAAAAAGATATCATCCTTTCTAATTTCTTTAAAATTTTCTAAAAATAAGGCCTATGCTGTTATTCTGTTTTGTTTTGAGAAAGGTTCTCTCTCTGTCACCCGCCCTGGAATGTAGTGGCATGATTAAGTCTCTCTGCAGCTTCAGCCTCCTGGGCCCAAGCGATCCTCCTACCTCAGTCTCCCCAGTAGCTGGGACTACAGTCAAGCACCATCATACCTGGCTAATTTTTTTTTGTGAGTTTCTAGCGACAGGGTCTCACTATATTGCCCAGGCTGGTCTCAAACTCCTGGGCTCAAGCAGTCCTCCCGCATTGGCCTCCCAAAGTGCTGGGATTAGAGGCATGAACAGATTTGTGAGTTATTGTTAATATAAGAGCAGTGACCGCCAACGGCAAATACCTTAATAATTGCCGACAGAAAACTTATAACTTCTTTAGATTTATTTCATACTTCAGTGATGATACTGTTGTATACTACTTTTTAAACTATAAGTGATAATACCAGCTTTTTTTCTCAAATCCAAACATTTAAGTAATTTGGAATATCACTTATTTATAATTGAGTAATAAAGTAGTAATAGAGTCACAGCCTTAATTGATTTTGAACTATAAAATCTGCACTGTCATTGTTTCAGCTGTTGAATACAATGTAGCATAGTGGTTAAGACTAGAGTTCTTCAGTTAAACCCTCTTCCACTTCCATCAGTGCAAACTATGACCAGGAAAAGTAGTTCAACTCACTTAGACTTTCCTCTCCTCATTGTTAAGATGGGGATAATAGTCATTTATGCCTCATAGAATCACTATAAAAACTAAATGAGCGAATACATATAATAAAACTACTTTTCTAGTGAAATAAATTGTAAGAAGTTTGTAACTGTGTTTTGTAAGAAACTTATCAAGTAGATAATTAGAAATTTGCATCATGGGCCTCAGGCATTAAAATTCATGAAGGAGAAAATTTGGAGAAAGCATTAAATGTTTCTTTTTAGACTTAAAGAATGGTTCCAAAGAGATGTGATTGCCCTTTACATGAGTTTAGTAATCTAAAAGGGTTCACATAGAGCTGAATAACTCCTACCTCCTACCAGGTCTGTAATATTATATGGTATTATTTTAAAGATTTTACTAAAATCACTATTGCAAAAACGCTAAAAAGACACCACATCTGAGACACTCTGTGGTACCCTTCTGATTTGAGGGTTATACATTATTAAATATATTTATTTAAAAATTGTGTCAGTAGTGGAATTACTGAATATTTTCTAGGCATTTAAAAAAATGAAAATTATATTAGTTGGTGAGAATAAGAAACTTAAAAGTCTTTAAATAAATTTGTTATATTCTTCTATAAATAATGTAATTTTCAGGACTTTTTAAAAAAGTCTCAATTATCGGATTAAAATTTTTTTAGACAAGTATATATTAATATTCATTTCCTTTGTTGGTAAAAATTTTTTAATCTGCGGTATCTTACCTATTAGTATTTTCAGAACTGTAGCAGAAGATTAAAAAAATCCCAAGAGTTTTATAAATATAAAAAAATTGCCTTTTTAGGTTTTATGAGAATATGGTTATTCTGGATATTTTTATCATAAAGTCATACTTACACTTTTGAAAACCCCCTAAAACCTGAATAAGCAGCTTACTTGATAAAACTAAAAACTAGATCAAGAGGCTTTAAATATTATAAGAGATACAAATATAATAATTTGTTCAACAGTGACTATGAATAACTTTATATTAGCATAGAATTCAGCTTCCAGTGTGTGAAGCCTTCACTACCTTTACTAGCCTTTCTGGCCTCATTTCCACAATAAAATGAATCTTCATGCCAACAATTTTGTAATTTTTGTATTTTTAGTAGAGGCAGGGTTTCATCATGTTCGCCAGGATGGGCTTGATCTCCTGACCTCCTGATCATCCCACCTCGACTTCCCAAAGTGTTTGGTTTACAGGCGTGAGCCATTGCACATGGCCTCAAGTAAAGTATTATTTTTATAAAGTCTGTGTTTGAGTTACACATTTTTAACAAAAATGGTGGAAGGGAAAGAATTTTTCCCAGTACGCAAAAGAGAAGGTATACAAAACATTTACAATGTGTATAGATTAACTTTTTTTTTTTTTCTCTGAGACAGAGTCTCACTCTGTCGCCCAGGCTGGAGTGCAGTGGCATGATCTCAGCTCAATGGCTCAAGCAATTCTTATGCCTCATAAGAATCTTGAATAGCTGGGATTGCAGGCATGTGCCATCACACCCGCTATTTTTTTTTATTTTTAGTAGAGATGGTGTTTCACCTTGTTGACCTGGCTGGTCTCAAACTCCTGACCTCAGGTGATCCCCCCACCTTGGCCTCCCAGAGTGTTGGGATTACAGGCGTGAGCCACTGTTCTGGCCTAGCCTAATATTTTTCAAGGATAAACCTGCTCAGTTTAACTGTCCATTTATACATAGACTAGTCATTATACATGAAGCATTTTGAATATTTGGCTAAAGACATCTTAGTTATTGTACCTGAAGCTTTTGTTTTCATTTTATATAAAAGTAAGACACTTTCAAGAGAACGGTGTATAATGCAAAATTTGTTAACAAGTGACTTCGAAATCCGGAAAATCACATGAAAAGGAGATACCTTGCCTTTAAATTTAGCAACACTTACTTTACTGTGTTTCCATTGAAACGATCTTTAACTATTTAGCTAAAAAGTTGGGAACTGATATACCATCAGTGTCCACTAACACTTGAATAATTTCCTTAGAGAGATAAATATATTTAATAATTGTCGAGTTCTGATTTTCATAAGCGTGGTTAATTTTTCAAATAACCTGTAGTTGTTTTTACATATATGTGCGGCTTTTTTTCCTAGTTATTTCCTCCAATTTCTCTTTTATAAGTTTTTTTTTTTTTTTTTTTTTTTTTTATAATAGGGCTGGGGAGCCTGTAGTGACAATATCACTTCATCATCCTTTCTTTCTACAGTTGATCATTTAGTCATCTCAGCATAATACTTTCCAAAGATAGCGCCGTGTTTGTGACCCTCACCAACTGATTTTCCATGAAGTCTGGCTGTCTCATTGGTCTACTTGCACTTTACAGCTCCTCTGGATCAACTTTATCTTACTGACATTTTCAGACTTATAATCATTATTTTATGTGTATAGAAAAATACAAATATCAGAAGCATACAACTTGATAAATTTTCACAAATGAAACATGTTTGTGTAACCAGCACCCACATTTAAAAATAGGATGTCACCAGCAGACCTGCTACCAAATTTTATTTGCTTCTCTGTCTCCCTCTCTTCTGTATGCGTGTTGTCTGCCTTCTCAAGCAGTAATTCTTTTGCATTCATTTCTTTTCTGTTCCTCTAAGTAGCAGTCTACTTAGAGCTTGATAAAAGTGCTTCACAAATACGCAGCCATATTTGTTTTCTAAAATACCATTACTATTGTTGCAGAATAATTTAATCTTTTAAACACATTTGTTTTCTTCTGCTTCCTCCCTCCCTTTTAAAATTTTATGCTGTGATTTCCTTTAATTATTGGTCCAAAAGTTCTTATCCACTTAAAAGTAGTTGCTCTTTTTTTTTTTTTTTTTTTTTTTTTAGTGTGTAAATTCAAGGCTCACAAAAGATGTGCAGTGAGAGCAACAAATAACTGTAAATGGACTACCCTGGCCTCCATCGGGAAGGATATTATAGAAGACGAAGATGGCGTAAGCTGCTACTCTGTCTCTGGTCTCTTCCCCATAACTCCTCTTTTTTGTTATGCTCTTGCGGAAGGCTGGTGATAGATAAGTAGGAATACTTATTACTAGGATTTAATAGAGGGTTTGGTTGATTCCGAGTTTTTATTTTTAATTCAATCCTTCATAGCTTTCTTTAGCGCTTGGATTTTGAAGGAAATCTGTTGTGAATGGGGCTTAGAAGTGGCCTCAGTGCTGGGCTGTTGTTGTCACCCTTTGATGAACTCCGGGATGTTCTTTATGGCTTAGCTGAGATGTCCACTCTTCAGACTTTGGGGCTGCCTCTCAACAGTACACCTCCTCTTTCAAAACCCTGCCTCCGTTGCGCTGTGCATATGGGCTTCTGGTAGTGCTTAGTGATCACTTTATTGTAATCCCTTTACATGCCTCAGCTAAACCTCTACCTGAACCCTGAAGGGCACAGCTTTTACCTTACTTTTATATTCCTCAAAGGTTCGGGCATAATAGATGCTTAATAAATGTGGGGTAAATGAGTGAATGCTATGCATGACACACACTGCAGACCCCTAGAGTGAGAAATGAATCAAAATCTCCCCTGGGGTGAGGTTGGTGTCTGCCAATCTTCACCTGGCTGCCCCTTCTTCCCTCTCCACAGCTCGCGATGCCTCACCAGTGGCTCGAGGGCAACCTGCCTGTGAGTGCCAAGTGTGCCGTCTGCGACAAAACATGTGGCAGTGTTCTCCGTCTACAGGATTGGAAATGCCTTTGGTGTAAGACAATGGTGAGGGTTTTGGAATCAGTTCATCATTTTTAATTAGCTTCTTTCCCTAACTTTGTCATCCACGTGGTTTAGAGGCAAGGCGAAGAATTGATGACAGAGCTGAGCCTGGTAGTATACACACCCCACGATGACATTCTTCTTTCCTTATGGTATAGTCCTCCTAGTCTGGTCGTTTTTTTCAAATGCCCTGTAAAACTTACTCTTGTTCATTCATTTCCTATGCCTCAGGATCTCTTACCCATAGTTTTGTTGTTTTTTAATTTTGCTTTGTCAACATAGTGCTTTGCTATGTTTGAGTCCGTTTTACTACGTGGAAGCCCCTTTATGGTATGTCACCAAATTTTGGTTGACATGCAAAATGTAAATTTGCTGCAACCCCATCAGCGCTCTCTGACAGAGGTGAAAAGCACATGCAGCCTAACATGAAGCCAGCAGCTGATTACTGATGCCGGCTATGGTAAGGACGGGGCCGCTGAACTGTGTGAGGACAGGCAAAGTAGGAAGGAGGCCACGTAGACAGTGGCATGGGGTTGAAAGACTGCAGCATGAGGAGGCCGTGGCTGTGAGTGCTCGTCTTAGCACTGAGCGATGCTGTCCTACGATGACAGTGATTGCCTTGCATGGGGGCTGCCTTATTTGGTGGTTTTGAGTCTTGTCTTTTAACATTGCTGGCTGAAATTTGGAAGCCATCCTCAAATGTTAACGTGTGGATAAACTATTGTTTTTGGTATGCAGAGTGTTCATCAGCAAATGTAAGAGATGTGTGATGTATTGCTTTCCTAATCAATAAGACTGTCTGATAGGCCACAAAGGAAAGTAAGCCCTACAGCCTTTTAGTTAGGCCCAATAGGTAATCTGTGTTTCTCCTCTTTGTTCTCATGCTTTTGTTATTCTTCATTGATTGCCTCTTTTACTAGCCTTAGATGTGTTATTAATACTTTTTCTCTTATATAATCTAATATATAGACTGTAGCAGATATCTCTCTTTAGAATCTTAGTGCAACCCCTAAAATCCTCTTATGCCATTTTTTTATGTTAAAAGAGTTCTACCCATAAACAAGATTTTAAATCATCATCCCACCTCAGACTTCTTCTTGAGAGGACAACCATTGGTAGCAAATTTTGCTGCTATTTTTATTAGTCTGTACATTTACTAAAGTCTGTGTCTCTACTTCTAGAGTTTCAACTGTTCACTTGCAACGTATTAGAAAGAAAACACATCATGTGTGATGAATTATTTTAGAAAGTCTTTATGTAAATTTTCTTTACCTGCAATATGTTTATCTCTACTTTAAAAAAAATCAGTAGTTTTTAAACTCTGTTAACTTTAACAGTAAGAGTTAATTAGGTTTATTACTTGCTCATTCTATTCACCCCTAACTTTTAAACATTTCTTAACTAGAATAGCAGTGGTATTACAGATGGTAGAAGGAAGGATGCCTTTTTTTCCTGGCAAACTCAAATGTCACCTTGTGACATCATTTTTGCCCCACCCAGTGTAAGTTTGACATGCTGGTTTCTGAGCTACCATCACCCTATAGCACCTCTCTTAGTCTTGCACTTTCTATACACAACCATTTGCCTGTTTACATATTATTTTGCCTTTAAAATATGAGTTTCTGGTCTGGCGCAGTGGGTCATGCCTGTAATCTCAGTACTTTGGGAGGCCGAGATGTGTTGATCACTTGAGGTCAGTAGTTCGAGACCAGCCTGACCAACACGGTGAAACCCCATCTCTACTAAAAACACAAAAAATTAGCTGGGCACAGCGGGGCATGCCTGTAATCCTAGCTACTTGGGAAGCTTCAGCAGAAGAATTGCTTGAACCTGGGAGGTGGAGGTTGCAGCAAGCTGAGATTGCGCCATTCCACTCCAGCCTAGGCAACAAGAGCAAAACGTCATCTCAAACAATTTAAAAAAAAAAAAAACATGAATGCTTGTAATCTCAGCACTTTGGGAGGCCAAGGCAGGCGGATCACCTGAGGTCTGGAGTTTGAGACCAGCCTCGCTAACATGGTGAAACCCCATTTCTACTAAAAATACAGAACATTAGCTGGACATGGTGGCATGCACCTGTAATCCCAGCTAAACGGGAGGCTGAGGCAGGAGAATCACTTGAACCCGGGAGGCAGAGGTTATAATGAGTGGAGATTGTGCCATTGCACTTCAGCTTGGGCATAAGAGCAAAATTCCATCTCAAAACAAACAAACAAACAAAAACATGAGTTTCTAACAACAGGATATCTAGTGCCTAAAACATAGTCTATATAATAAAAAAACAAACAAAATTAAAAAACCTGTAGCCCTGCAAGCCTAATGAATCAACTTATAATTTTTCCAGCTGTTGTCCAGGTCTGTGGACATAGTTTTACATTTTCTGTAAAAATTGTGAAGACATAATTTGATCATCTGCTTTTCTTATTTAGCATTATTATAAATTTCTTTCTGTTTTGTTCCATGGTTCTCATACATTTTAAAATTACTTTTAAAGCTGTCTGTGTGTGCTAGTTTTTCTAAAATGCATTTGTATTGTTAATTATTGCAAAGCATAAGGAAACTGTCTAAAAACAGTTCATCACCAGAATTAGAATCACTATTAAGTTTAAGTTATTCTTCCAAAAGTTTTGATAAATGCAGGTTTAATTATGCCAGTTTTCTAAAAGGACTAATAAAATAAAGTCATATTAAATAAGTACTTGATGAAAAGTATCTGCTTTTACTGGTTAAAAGATTTAGAAGGCTCTGCAGACATCTACACAAAGTATCCTAAATTGCCTGGGTCCTACCTAATAAGTTATCCTTGTTCTTGTTCTCAGTAGTACCTTGTATGACCATGAAATTCATTTCTACTGAAAGCACATTTACGGGGTGCCTGTGATATGCATCACTTTCCTTTATCTTACAGAGCAGCAGTCCAGCTGAGAACATAAGCATGGGTGTACTTGTACTTTTAATAACAGGAAAATGTCATAAAAGAAATGTGAATAGAAAGTTATAGGATTGCTGCTGCAGAAAAGCAGGCACATTGCAGATTTTATCTTTGTTAAATTTTATAAGAATTTGTATAAAAACAAAATAAATGTTCTGTCATCAATTTATTTTATGGGCAATGATACTGACATACTGGTTGGTTTTCCTCCTCCTTCTTTGTATTCCCCTTCTTTTTCTCTTTTCCTCTCTGTTTCCCTTCCTCTGCTCTCAGTCTCTTCTCTTCCTCTCTCCTTGCCTTCACCAGTTGTTCATTAACTATATATTCTTCTCTGAGATAATTCCAAAAATTTGTTTGTGTGGACTAAAACCAAGTTTCCATTTCTAAAATGTTTAGTCATTTCCTTAATTATAAATATTATACCATTTAAAGAAGTTAATGAATGACTGAATATTTTGTGGTACAGTTGATTCTAGATTATCAGTTCCTTAGATGTAATTTATAATGGCAAAACATTAATTTATTTTTATGATTCTTGAAGGTATATTTGTTTGTTGTTAGGTACACACTGCCTGCAAAGATTTATACCATCCAATATGTCCACTTGGCCAATGTAAAGTATCTATCATACCTCCAATTGCGCTAAACAGCACCGATTCCGATGGTATGTAGTAGTAGTGTAAGTATGTATATTTCTGGTATATTTAATATTGATCTATGTATTTCTTTTCCTAGAATAACTGTAACTATAGTTGATTATCATGGTAATTTTTTCTAAAATAATTCCATTTAAATTGCTGAAAATACATTCAATTTTTAAAAGAACATATTTAAGTGATAGTTGTAGAACAAATTCATGAAATTACTGTATATAAGAGTTTTAGATGGTATGTTTCAGTAAATAAATTGAGTATACTGCAATACAGTCTGAAAATGTTAATTTTTATGTTTTTTTCCTCTATAGTTGAAACTGCCTATTAGCGTGTTTTTCTGTAATTTCATTGTAGAAATTTATATGACTATAAATGCACTTTTCCCAAAACCTTACAACATAACTATGAAGTGCTGAGGAACCCCTTTACAATACTCGTTTTGGGGTTGCATACTAATTACTTCCTTCTAAGCAAATCATATTACAAAGACTTTTACCATGTGTAATACTATGCCATTTTATATAACAGACTTGAGCAACTGTGGATTTTGGTATTCATGGGGGTGCTAGAATCAATTCCCCAAGAATAATAGGACTGTACTATTATTAATGTCTTGCACTGATATCATGCTTTGTGCTTTTCAAACTTTTTATATAATTTATGCCAATAGATATCTTAGATTAACTTTATAAACTTCAAGATATAAGTTTATAAACCTCAAAGGAGGTGGCATTTTTTAAACCTGTGCTATTCACAACCCTCTCTCCCAACCTAAGCCCTGATTTTATTTACTATAAATCTTAAAATATTCTCTCAGTCTTCAGAAAGGAGCAGTTAAAATATTTTGAAATACTGAATATGAATGTATGAATTCCTTGACAAATGTGAATTTATAAACTATAATAAATTAGTTTTTCTTATAATTAAGCCTAATTAAGGTAGGTGGTATATCTTAAATTAACTGTGATTGATACTTTTATCATCTTGGGTATAATTTTCATTATTGAGCATATATTTAAAATATAGGTTTATATGTAAATAGTTAACCTATTTCTATTTGGAGGGCTAAATTATAACTTAATACTCCAGTTTTTATAAATTCCTTTTCTCTGAATGTTTGCTAATAATTTAGAAGAGGAAGCTGTATGTATTGATCTTGTACTGTGTTTTCTTACAGGTTTCTGTAGAGCAACGTTTTCCTTCTGTGTTAGTCCTCTGTTGGTTTTTGTCAATTCTAAGAGTGGAGATAATCAGGGAGTAAAGTTCCTTCGTCGCTTTAAACAGTTGCTAAATCCGGCTCAGGTGTTTGATTTAATGAATGGAGGTCCTCATTTAGGGTAACTGATTATTGATAAATCTTACTTGAATACAATGTAGGACTAGGTGTTAAATGTGTCAGGTTTTTTAGCTCATGAAAATTAGAGATTCCTCTAGATCCCTCCCTTGTTTTTAACTCACTAATTATAAGTTTTAACACGACCTTTGGATGGTTATACAACTGTCTTGTTTAAATTCCAAAACTCTATTGAAATTTCTCAATTCCACAGTTGTTTGGAAAATGTTTTAGAATATATTCTATATCAAAAAATACTAACAAGTTCTTTAGCTCCAGGAAAGATCAACTGTGTAAATATAGAAATAGAAAGTAATATTAGAAAATGATTTGCATGGAAAGCTGATATTGATTTATATAATATAAATAATCAATTATCAAACCCAAGTACAGGGACTGTCATGGCTGTCAAGGGCAGTTCTTCAAGGATTTCAGACTCAGTTCACATAGATGACAAATAAACACTTTTGTTGATGATTCTTTTCAGCTTTCTGGATGTCATGTAGCTTAAAATCTGTAAGATAAAATGAACTAAGTAGTATTTTCACTGAAGAAAAATACACCTTGTGGTACTTGCAATACCTTTTTAGGGTATGCATATGATTTTTCTTAAGAGGTGATATTATGTCTTCTGAACCAGGGGACTTCAAACCTCTATATGATTTACTTAGGTCAACTCAGCTTTTCTCTTGGGTTTCACTGTTACCTTAAAGCATGAATGCAGAAGTAGAAATGGGGATTTTCAATACCAGTGCCTGAAAAGGCATTTTGTGTTTTGTAATGTGACACTTTCCTCTGTCTTCTCTATTTCTCTCCTTCCTTCTCTCTTGGTGCCTCTGTTTACTTTTGCCCCGAGTCTTTCTTCCTGCTTCCGTTGCCTTTATCTTGCTAAATCTCAGGCCCTTTTGGTCCTGTGGATGTTGGTCTTCTCCATTTATACCCCACTTCTTCCTTATCTACATGTACCACCCTTCCTTTCCTCTGCTGAGGTCCTAGAGTTTCTTCATCTAGCCTCTCTTCTCGCCTTCTTTGTCTCCGCCATACTAGGGTAGTTTTGTCCTCCTTTCTGACACATCCATTTTATAATCCTTTATAGTTCCACTATCTTATAGTCTTGATTTATTTTTCCCATTCGTCCTCGAAGGCTCCAAGGATCTCTCTTGGTGCGACTTCCTGAGATTGTCCCTCTAATATTTTTCAGATTTTCCACCATACTTGAAGTAAGTGTACAAGGGTACATTTAGGAGATAGGATGTGTCATAAGTTGAGATGAGGGAAAATAGAAGGGTGGGCCTGAGAATAGGAGAAGAGGAGGGGAAAAAGCTAGTTGGGAATCCTGAGAGCAGTACATTGATTTGTGTCTTTAGGAACTGCCTGAGTGTTACTCATTAGCTTATTCCTTACCCATGATTTGTAATTCTTAAGAATTTGTTCCTGTAATGGAAAGAGAAAAACCACCACTTCCACCATCTTGTATTACTTTACCTTTCCTGGCCTCTGCTTCTTTTTTGTTTTCTTATTTCTCACTCCCATTCCTCCTAATTTTATATTCATTTCTACTTATCATTCCCTTTCCTTCTTATGATTCAGAAGTTTCCTTGAGTTAAAATTACACTTCAATGAATGTTTATGGTATAATTAACATGTAAGTAGGAGTTCTTTTATTTAATCTGAACATGAATACCAATACAGAATAACAAAGAATTGAAGAAAGTGATTTTCATGTCTTTATACTAACATAAAATCCTTTTTGCTTTCAGTTTAAGATTATTTCAGAAGTTTGACAATTTCCGGATTCTTGTTTGTGGAGGCGATGGAAGTGTAGGTTGGGTTTTGTCAGAAATTGATAAGCTCAACTTGAATAAACAGGCAAGTGCTGGTTATTTTACTTGCTAGTTAACATGAATGCATACTAACATACTTACCAGAGAGGTGCAGAAATGCAGTAGTCCCTGTTTCCCAACTCATCTGAAAGTCACCCTGTCACACTCTCTTTCAGTGTCAGCTGGGAGTGTTGCCGTTGGGTACAGGAAATGACCTTGCACGAGTTCTTGGCTGGGGAGGTTCATATGATGATGACACCCAACTTCCTCAGATCCTAGAGAAATTGGAACGAGCCAGTACCAAAATGTTGGACAGGTAAAAGTGAATTCTTTTCTACAACCAGTTGGAAAATAGCACACTGAAATCATTTTTTGATGATTTATTAATAAAGACTTATTAATAAATTTTACTGACTAGAAGCTCCAAGAAGGCAGAACTTTCCTGATCTTGTGCGCTGGTTCCTGTCTGAGTTGGAGAACGGGGCCTATCACAGAGAAAACACTCAATAAAGATATTTTATAGTGAATGAATGAATTATGAAAAACTAGTCTGAGGAACTCATTATTTTAAATATAGAAGGCTGTGTTACTGCTATTTTAATTACAGTTCAGGTCAAAAAGCTAAAATAGTTCATTTTGTAGGGTGCCTTTTGATGAGTATAATAGGTAGCCCCCTGTCATTGGTGGCTTCCAGAAAGCTAAAGAGGAGGTATAAAGGTTAGATTTGTTAGAGTATCTCCTCTTAAATATACATATTAAGAATGAATTGACCCAATAAGAACTAAATATGTTAAGATATAAATAATCCTTTCCCAGGGATAGGGAAGTATTAGGAAGACAGCTTCAAATGAAGGGACTTTTACTGTGTTTATTGCTACTCTTGATCACATCTCTTAATTGCTTTATCTCTGAATGTCTATGTATAAAAAAGAAACTACAGTGTGTATACCCTGAGTGTTATAGAGGAGGTGTTTAGAACTTGGGCATAAGGAACAATAGGACTCAGTAACCAGTCACTCCCCAACCCCCACTGTCAGTAGAAGACAGATGTCAAAATATCATGATCAACTTGAGGTAGCATGAATCAAAACAACTTTGTTAGAATTAGCTGACTGTGGAACTCTTCCCAAAAATAACAAAATTTCATCGGGGAGCCACCAATCTGAGATGTACTTACTCTAAGATGAGCTATAACCTAATTAATTGTAACCTTGCCTATCGTAAGGTAATAGTGTAATAGTTGATTCTTTTGCTGACAGAATATTTAAAAAGAGAGCTGGGAAGCAGAACGTTTGTCTGTGTTTATCCAAAATTACATGAGAGAGATACTCCACTAGTTTAAGTGTATAAAAGTTTAAAATCTAATGTGCTACTGGATTCAGTCTCCAGCCTTTAAAAGAATCTGGAGGTTAAAAGAAGAAAAGGAATGAAAAAGGGAAATGGTACTTATGAATATGTCAGTTAGCTTGATTGTGGTGTATGTATATCCAAACATCAAGTTGTATACCTTAAATATATACAGTTTTTTATTTGTCAGTTATGCCTAATTCTGGGGAAAAAAGATTGGAAATAAATAAGTAAAATCACCATTATTTGTCAATAAGCCTGGAGGGGATTTCCCAGACAACTGTCCAATTCTGTGGTTAACAAACAAAAGGGATTATTTTAAATGCTTTCTTTGTTGCAAATGTAAAGACCACTTCTCCTGCTGTTAGGATTTTCATCCACCTTGGATATGTGCTTTCCCCTTGTGTGCTGTAAAAATTCACTTCTCAGCTGGGCGAGGTGGCTCACCCCTGTAATCCCAACACTTTGGAATGCCCACACGGGAGGATCACTTGAGCCCAGGAGGTGGAGATTGCAGTGAGCCGTGATCACACCACTGCACTACAATCTGGGTGACAGAGTAAGAACGTGTCTCAAAAAAATAAAAATAAAATGTCACTTCTCCAGGTGGTTAGCCAAGAAACAGCACCCCCATGGTGAAATTCCTTGATATCTGCCGGTATGCCAAAACAAAACAGAAGACACAAACATACACACAAATCAAAGGGGATTCAGAAACTTAAGACCTTTATTAGAAACATAGGAATATCTTATTCCTCTGTTTCCTTTATTAATTTGCTGTTTGTAAAGAACAAGTGAAAAAAAATCATTGTTTAATATTCTAAATTAGCTTAGTTTTTCAAATGAGTTATTTGATCCTCAAAACAACACTGTGGGGTGGGCCAGAAAAGCATTATTTTATAAAGATGAAAATTTAGTCTTCTGGATATAATGGGAATAAAAACAACTTAGTTTTTGTCTGCCTACACTTTCTAGCTGTTTTGCTTCGTGCATCATCTCATTTAATTATCGTCCTTCTCCTAGAGATAGCTAATGTTGCCGTCTCCATTTTACTGGTGAAAAGGTTTAGGAGGTTTTTACATTATCTAAGTTAAATAGCTAATAAGTAATAGAACCGGCATGGTAAACCACAATCCCTGCTCTGTCTACTTTCCGGGGTCCTTTCTCAACTCCGCACTCTCTCCCCTTTATATATGCACACCAGGTGGTTCTTTCTAGCCTTTGCCTCTGCTTAGCTGGTACTCACATGCATCTCTTCCTCACTTTTTCATCTCTTGCTGCCACTTTCTCCTTTTTCTTTAGCTTCAACCATTTCCTATTAAGTGGGGAGGTATAGCATGGAAGGTGCAAGGAACTCAGACATTTGGGTGGAGTTCTTACCATTTATTTAACCGTCTTTGACCAGAAAAGTATTTCTAGCTATAAGGAACTTGATTTTTATGTTTCTACTCGTGATTTTCCCTGTTTGGATATTTACAGAGTTTGTTTTGTTTGCTTGCATCATACCTATTTTCTGCACTAGAACATAAGCTTCAGTGGGGAAGCCTTATTCACCCTTGTGTTTCCAGACCCTGTGACTTTGAGATGCTCAGAGCAATATAGTATATCTGCTGCATGGGTAAATGAATAGCTTTTGGTGTTCAAATATAAATTTCTTTAAAGTATTTTCATGTAGAGGGTTGAATAGTAGCTATAAGTAACTATTTAGTTTACATATCATAACACATAATGTATGTCTGTTGGAGGGCTTTCTGGGAATTTGAATTTTTATGCAAACATTTATTCTCATTAGTTTCAATGATAAACTAGGCTCTGTTTAAATATTCATCTTGGGATCTTCCTCTGGGTTCTAACACTAGCTTCAGCTGTCTTACACTTTTCTTAAAATTCATGTGTCATAGTACTGCCTTTATTATGCTTTGTTTGTGTAAAAATTTTTATTTCACATCTTTTTTTTTTTGAGATGCAGTTTCACTCTTGTTGCTCAGGCTGGAGTGCAGTGGCACGATCTCAGCTCACTAAACCTCTGCCTCCCGAGTTCAAGTGATTCTTCTGCCTCAGCCTCCTGAGTAGCTGGGATTACAGGAACCTGCCACCACGCCTGACTAATTTTTTGTATTTTTATAGAGATGAGGTTTCGCCTTGTTGACCTCAGGTGATCCACCCACATTGTCCTGCCAAAGTGCTGGGATTACAGATGTGAGCCACCACATCCAACCTTTTTTCTTCTTCTTCTTTTTTTTTTTTTTTTTTTTTTGTTTGAGACAGAGTCTGGCTGTGTTGCCTAGGCTGGAGTGCAGTGGTATGATCTCAGCTCACTGCCACTTCTACCTCCCAGTCTCACGTGCTCCTCCTTCCTCAACCTCCCAAGTAGCTGGGACTACAGGCATGCAGCACCGTGCCAGGCTATTTTTTATTTTTTTTGGTAGAGATGAGTTTTTAACATGTTGCCCAGGCTGGAACTCCTGAGCTCAAGCAATTCATTCACTTCAGCCTCCCAAAGTGCTGGGATTACAGGCATGAGCCACCATGCCTGGCCTTTATTTCATATTTTTTTAGCCTACAATAATATCCTGGCCCAGTTGTTCTTCCCAAATTTTGAAATTATTATTTTTGATAGAAAATTGGACTTATACTGAGTTGATTTTTTTTCTGTAGCACCAAATGATTTGATGTTTGTTTTGATATTAAAACTTATAGCTATGAGATTAATACTTATAGCTAATTTAAATAAATTTGCTTCAGTTAAATATTATTAATATTTTTTCCCTACTCCCATGCTTACATTCACTCTTTCTTAATTTAAGTAGGAGTGTTTAGCTAACTTTCATTTTATGTATGTATAAGCTGATTTGGTAAGCGTGGTTGAGGAATTGTTTATAGGTAGTACGTATGTATTTAATCTAGGACATTGTTTTAAATCTTTAGGTTACGACTCATGAGTAATTTATAACCTAGTTAGTAAACTGCACTGAGCATTATTTTAAAAATAGAACAGAAAAGAATGGAAAAGTCAGAATGCATTGCACCTAGTGAAGAAGTGGAGGTGTTGTAACACATGTGGTTTTCTTATTGTGGGCTGTGGTCTTAAAACATTTGGAAGCCACTAATTGGAGAAATGATAAGATGTGGAAATCATAAGTTATGAATTCAACATGTATGAGATGACTGAAATGTGATCTCTGTCCCCATTTTTGGTTGTTTTAAGATAAAATAAAGCATAGTTCATGAATGCGTGTGTGTGTATGTATGAGATGGTAACAGTTAGTGTATCCAATTTTAAAGAAATCTTAGACCAAAGAGTTTTTCTCCCTTCAGGTGGAGTATAATGACATATGAACTCAAATTGCCACCAAAAGCTTCCCTACTTCCAGGACCTCCAGAAGCATCTGAAGAATTTTATGTAAGACTTAACCCTTTACCTAATCATTTGAAATGGGGATGAATATCTTGAAAAATAAAAAGAGAAAACATACTCCTAAGATATGGTAGCATGTTTACTTAATTTCATTTTGGGGTATGGTCTCATTGACTACTTCTAGTCCTCTCTCCCTGAGAGAAGAATCCAGAATCTAGGTTAGAGTCCTTTCATGGCCACCCACACTGGGAGTGCCCAGTCACTCCCCTTCCTGGGCCTCTTCATGTGTAAAGTGAGGCTACAAAGCGGTGAGAGTTGAATGACACACAAATGTGTAAAGCACTATCTGCTTTCCTGCCCAGATAGTCCTCCTTGCCTGTTCTACCCGCCTGTTTTCTTTTTATCAGCAGAGCTCCAGGAAGGTCAGCTGGTGTTTCCTGTTAGTGTTTATTCATCTTCTCCTTTGGCCATTAGATCCTGTTTGATTATAAGATGTTAGCTTCTTTACACAGTCTCCAAACATAACAGTATTCCTGGCCAGAATATTATACAGTTTCTCTCTTACTGCTTGCTTTGCGTATTCTTTTCTTTTTGAGACAGGGTCTTGCTTTGTGGTCCAAGCTGGCTGGAATGCAGTGATGCAAACACAGCTCACTATAGCCTTGACCTCCTGGTCTCAAGAGATCTCCCGCCTCAGCCTCCCAAAGTGCTGGCATTATAGGTGTGAGACTCTGTGCCCGGCCCCTACCCTTTTGAAGGGACAGCAAGACAGGTCTCTGGATTAAGCCTGTTGATACAGTTAAAGGAAGAAAGACCACTTAATTCCATCCCTACTACAGACCTTAAATGACTAATGTTTTTAAAGATTCAACGTTCTGATTAAACCTCAAAGCTGTGTAGATTCAAAACAGAACCTGACTTTCAAAGGCTTATTCTCTTTCTTGTTAAGACTATTTGATCTATGCAAGCTTATTTTTCCCTCTAGGAAAATTTATCTGTTTATGTTACAGTTGAAATCTTTGTTTTGTCATTAAGAAAATTATGATCTTGTCTAAACTAAGGCAAGGAGTGGTAACTACAAACATGGGGCTGTTTGTTAGAGAAGCTAATTGTGCCGGGCGTGGTGGCTCACACCTATAATCCAGGCACTTTGGAGGCCAAGGCGGGCAGATCACCTGAGGTCGGGAGTTCAAGACTAGCCTGACCAACATGGTGAAACCCCATCTTAAAAAAAAAAAAAAAAAAAAAAGAGAAGCTCATTATATTTTTAAAACTTTTTCTTTTATAAAAACTGCTAATGGCCAAAACTGCTTCTAAAAAAATTTGGAAATACAAAATTATATGAAAAAGAAAATAAAATCACTTGTAGTGCTACCACCCAGAGATAATCATTATTAAAGATTAGTATATTTACTGCTTGATTTTCAGCAGCATTTTTAGTTATGTGATTCTATAAATCACATTTTTATAGAAACCAGTCTTTTATCCCAACAGTATTTTTGTAAATGTTACTAATTTTCTTTCCAAAAAAGATAAAAAGGAGATTTTTTTTTTGTTCAGTTTACTTTAGAAATGTCTGTTTTCTAGCATATAAAATAACAGTAGATGATTTACTTTTATCACTTATATATAAAATCACTAAATATGAGGTACAATTCTAAAGATATGAAGGAAATCTCTCTTTTTTTGTACAAAAGGGTTTTAAATGAAACTTTACTTTTTAAAATAATCTTATTTTTGTAACAAAGGTATAGCACACTTTAAAATAACAGATTAAATGAGTGTTCTAAATGGCCCTGACTAGGCCCCAAACTAGGTTGACGCCAGGAATGCATTTTACTGTGTGTGGCTTTTTTACCTTGAAAACTGCAATAAAAGTAGACTAAACCTTTTTTCTTAGCTTTTCTACACATCACTAGCTGTGGGTCTTAAGCAAATTACTCAACTAACCTATAGCTCCCATTCGTTGGCTATAAAACAGAACAAAGGCATAAATGTATACAGAGTGCTTAATTACAGTGCCTGGTACACAATACAAAATGTTAACTCTTATTATTACTTACCTTTCTGACCCAGCTAGGTGACTGCATAGTAGGTTAATAAGTTACATGTATTATTTTATCTTTGGACATAGAGGCTATTTTAGTGTCCTCTGAAAGGGGTTGTATGTTTTTGTCTTTGAATATTTTTAATGGACAAAAACTTGGATTTCTTAAATATAAGTTTCAAATGGCATTAATCAAATGTCATTAATTAATACATTAATCAACTGGCATTAATGAATTCATTAATTAATAGCATTAATTATCATGTAAAATATTTTCTCCTCTGCAGGGAAGAAAAATAATCTCTGGCGAGTATTTTCTTTTTTCAAATTTTAAAGTTTATTTTTAGATGATATATTTTCATTTTTCTGATCCTAGCTGTAAAGATGTAATTTGTAGTGTTTAAGAGATCAGTAAAGGGGATTTGTGGGTCAGTACAATATCATGCGTAATTTTGGAGCTCCCAGCCTCCCTTCCTTTCTTTGATGTAAAATTGCTTTCCCACAAGTGGTCTGCCTTTGAAGGAGGGAAGGTAGAAATTTTAAAGAGTAACGTACTTTTGAAAGAGTAACATACCCACTGGTGGAATGAAGGTAAATTAGGAATGGGATTCTTTTGGGGAGAGGCTAGTCAGGAGGGCTTTGTGGGAAAGACCATTAATTGAATCTTCAATTAAGTCTGAATAAACTGAAGCTGATTGGTAAAAGTAATGAAAAGGTATCTGGGTGAGGCAGAAGAGCATCATCAGCCAGCTTGCCTAGAGCAGATCATTTATACTAGAAAATTTTGAGCTGGGTGAAATGGAATTTTTTTTTTTTTTTTTTTTTTGAGACGAAGTCTTGCTCTGTTGCCAGGCTGGAGTGCAGTGTTGTGATCTCAGCTGACTGCAACCTCTGCCTCTTGGGTTCAAGCGATTCTACTGCCTCAGCCTCCCCAGTAGCTGGGACTACAGGCGTGAACCACCATGCCAGCTAATTTTTGTATTTTTTTAGTAGAGGTGGGGTTTCACCATGTTGTTCAGGATGATCTCAATCTCCTGACCTTGTGATCCGCCCGCCTTGGCCTCCCAAGGTGCTGGGATTACAGGTGTGAGCCACTTTGCCCCACCCATGCAATAGGATATTATTTGAGACACATTTGATGTAAGGCTCTGAATATGAGGCTGTTTAAATATTGTGCACATCTTTACATATTAGGAAAATGTGTGTGTTCTTTTAATAGGATGTTAAAGTTTGAGTCAAATAAGAAAGGGATTATGGATGCTTTTGGCATTTTCACTAATTATTTAAAAGGAATATTTATTTACATGATTATATGAAAGTGCATTCAGCATTTAAAAAATCTTTTTTATTGAATTATACATACAGAAAAGTGCACAGGTCATAAATATACAGCTTTAGGTAATTTTTCACAAACTAAACAAATCTATGTAATCAATGCCTAAACCACCCGACAGCATTCAACTACCCCATAAGCCCCCTCATGCCCCATTTCAGTCAAGCTCTCACCTCCTACCCCAATATCACTATGCTGACTTCTGATAGATAGATAGATTGGTATCTGTTTTGTGCTTTGTAAAATAGAATCATTTTGTATACTCCCATTTGTTTCTGGATTCTTTCACGCAATGTTATATTTATCAGGTTCATCTATACTGTGGCTTGGCTGTAAATCATTCATTCTCATTCTCCTGTAGTCTTCCATTGCACAAATATACTGCAATTTGTCACCCATTCTACTATTAAATGAATGCTGCTGTGAACATTCTAGTGCGTGTCTTTTGATGAACACATTTCTGCATTTCTTTTGGGTGTAGAAGTTGCATTTCTCAATCTTGTGATGTCATTGCATATGTTTAGCTTTAAGAGACACTACCAAATTGTTTTTGAGAGTGTATCAGTTTGCATTCCCATCAGCAGTGTATGAGAGTTCTGCAGCTCTATAGCCTTGCTAGTACTTGCCGTTTTCTACTTGTTTTCATTTTAACCATTGTGATATGGTGGTACTGCATTGTGGTTTTAGTTTGCATTTGCCTGATGGCTGAGATTGGATATGTTTTCTTCTGTTGATGGGCCATTTGGATATTTTTATATTTAAATGTCTAGTCTTTTGCTCAATTTTTATTAGATTTTTTGGCTTTATTATACTACTTTGTAGGAATTATTTTTATATTGAGATATTTTTATATAAAAATTTTGTAAAGGGAATTTTATGGATTTCTATAAGAATATAAACTAAAGAATTCCAGAAACTGAAAGGCTTTTGTCAAAAGGAAATATTTATCTATTTTGCATAATGATTCTTATATTTCATTATAGCCATTGCCCTGCCTAACACATGTCATGAAGGGTTCAATTTCTGAAACAGCAATAAGCAAGTTGTATAAATGCCAGCAACAATAATACAGTGTGGAGTTTTTTTTTTTTTCTTTTTTCAGATGACAATTTATGAAGACTCAGTTGCAACGCATCTTACAAAAATCCTCAATTCTGATGAACAAGCAGTGGTCATATCATCTGCCAAGTAAGTTGTGGGTTTTAAGTCTTTAAATAGTTATATGGTGAAAATGAAAGGATAGCTGATTCCTATCATTTAGGTCATTTATTTGTGGGTTTTCTTCTCAAAAAATACCTTGGAAGTAGCTTATAGAATTAGATGTACTAAATTTGAATTGATTTTTAAAAATCATGTTAGCATCTTATTTGCAGTGGCATATACTTACAGGGTATTTTTTTATGCGTAATTTGAATCATTTTTATCAAAAACGTGTAAGAAGCATTTAGAGTTTAATTAACCTAAATCTATTTCAGGAAATGTTTATAATTACATATTTCATTATAATTCATTATTTCCATGAACACTACTATTTAGGAAATGTTTACATCACATCAGTAAAAGGAAAAGAATGAGATTTTTCAAAATGATGTTCTCAGCATGCTTAAATTGAATAATTACATTTTAATACAAAGTTATCAGATTTTAGTGAAGTTGATTCTGTACGTGGAGCCAAAGCTACTTGATGTTATTATCCCAAATGTTGCCTGGCTGGAATTTAGAATTTAGTTTTGAAGCATGCTGTGCTGATGTCAAGAAACTGGGAAGTTGACTAGAGGAAGGAGTGACACCAACTGAAATTTTCAACTGATAAGCAAAAGAATGCTTTCAGATTCTGACATAGCAAGCATGGGTTACTATTATGCAGGAAGAGAGGAGAAAAAGAGAGGGAAAGAAAATGAGTGGGAAAGTGGTAAAGAAAAAATACAGAAATTTTGGTATATTATGTACTTAATTCTCAGTGAAGTTGGGGAAAGACAAGATGAATCTTTATAAAATTTTTATAAAAAGTACAAATGTAGTAACAACTGCTTTTGACAACATATCCTCCAGAAATAGGAAACAGGACTGAACAATAGGAAAATTGTTGAATGGCTTACCGCCAAGGAGGCACACTGGTTGGCCCAGGAGAGGTGGACTCTAGACTCTGTTTGGTGGGCAGTACTGCAGGTTTCTGTTTTGTACAAATATTGGACTAAAGCGTCTTCTGCCATTTTTACTTAATTGAAGACAATTTCCTTACAATCATGTTTTTAAAATAAAATACAGAAATAATTAAAAACTGTATCAAATATAAAACTATAACTGTTATCTGTAACTTTATTGTTTAATTTTTCTTGTAAAGGAGAAAATTTAATTGTATCTAATTTATTAATGTCAACAAAACAGAGTTTTAATATTGGAATTATGTGTAAGATTGTATTTGAACCAGGTACAGTGGCTCATGCCTGTAATTCCAACACTGTAAGAGGCCAAGGTGGGCAGATTACTTGAGCCTGGGAGTTCAAGGCCAGCCTGGGCAACATGATGAAACCTTATGTATATATATGTAGAGATGAGGTACACACACACACACACACACACTAGCCAGGCGTGATGGTGCCTTTCCTATAGTACCAGCTGTTCAGGAGGCTGAGGTGGGAGGATCACTTGAGCCTGGGAGGTGGAGGTTGCACTAGAGCTAAGATGGTACCACTGCACTCCAGTTTGGGCGACAGAGTGAAACCCTGTCTCAAAAAAAAAAAAAAAAGATTTTATTAGAGAAAAGGTTTCTACTGCCAAAAATGTTTTGCTACAAAGGTGTTAAGATTACGAATGATAGGGAGAGAAAGGGTTGATTACTATAATTCTGTTTGCATCTGTGGAAATTTCTTAAGAATTCCACTTAATTAAAAATATGTAAAAAATATACTAAATGCAGTGATCAAATACATGAAAGTCAATATAAAGGTTTTGCTGACATCCAAACTATGAAAAGTGGCCAGTTAAAATATTTACTTAACTATATTAAACAAAAAATAATTATCTTATGACTTGCTATACCTTAAAAAAGCTTCCATTACAGCTTTCCACCTTTGTTAGCAATGTTCTCTGAAATGTCATATCAAAATACATTGGATTTACAGGGCAAGGGCCAGGCAGTCACTTAGGTGTATGAATTGGGCCTGGGAGGAGAAAGACAGTAGGAAGTGCTAAGGCCTGAGACAAACTGGAGATTTGTCCATTTCGCCATCAAGCAATACAATTCATCGAAAACCCCAGCAGTACTGCCCACCAAAGGAAGAGCGTATGTAGCCCGCCTCTCCTGGGCCAGCCATTGTGCATCCATTCAGATCTTTTTCTACCGTTCAGTCAGTCCTGTTTCCTGTTTCTTGGGGATATGGAAAGAAGGCCTGTTATTTCTCCCTCATGGATCTATTAGGAGAATTAAGCTGAGTAATATATCTATAAGTATAGAGTTTATAAATGGCAGAGGGCTATATTAAATTTTGGTATCATCGCCTCATGTTTTACTGGATTACATTTCGGATGTTTTCTTTGACCTTGGTCTGACTCTTTGTCTAAGGCACTGCTCTTAGCCTTAGCTTTGGGGTTCTCCCTAACCAGCATGCTTGCCCTTAAGCAGATTCCATTCCGATCTGGGTCCCCTCTTGTCACTCACTCATCTGTGCTTCCAGGTTTTTACAACCCCAGATACAATGGGAATTTGCCATAAAGAGGCTGAAGAGAAAAAAAGAGGACACAATATGTAATTATTTGATACTAGAAATATAATATGTATTAAATTTTATTTATTATTATTTTTGGAAGAAAATCTCTTTATACCAGTTATCTTACAAACAATAAAATCACAACAGCTGGTTTAAGGAGGCCATATAAATACTTACCCAGCCCCAAATTCTATATCATCTTAATGAAATTCCGCACAGTAAGAACACCCTTTTCCATTGCAATTCTGAAGCAAGGAAGCTGTGAATGAGAGAAGAGGCTTAACGGATGGTTTCATACTTTATACTTTCACTCTTCGTTATATTTTTATGTTAAATTAAATTGGTCATGAGAGCTGATTTTTCATGTCTTCAGTTGAACTTCTTGATTAGGCCAGTCCACGTGCACGTCTGCACTGTTTTAGCACCTCATTGGTACCCTCACCAAGCTTGACGTCACCCTAGTTCTGGGCACACCCCAGAAACTGTTCTATCTTATACAAGCAAAGCTGCTGCTATTGTGCAGCTAGTCTCCCAGAGGCTTCTGAAAAGTAATGCTGCCTTGCGAGCTCAGCATTACTTCCTCTGTTGAAACCCCCCCTTTCCTGTGATAGCTGACCCAGTGTGTGCCCCACAGCAGGGCCCATAGCCCCACTAGCTGCAGTGGTTGCCCTCTGGACCATCAGACCTGGCTGCCAGGGTGCAGCAGCAGGAGACCCGACTAGAGAGGGTGGGACCACTGCTGGCAGCTGAGCTGCTGGTGCTGACCCAGGTGCTGGTCTCACTGGGGGTGCCTGGCTGGCCAGAGGGGCCATGCTGGAGGTGCAGCTTTGACTTCCACATGGCATTGCAAATGGGCAGTGGCTCAGCGTCTCTAAATTTTATTTTTATGGACATTTTCAAACAAAACTGTTATAATTACTTCCCACCATACCCATCATTCAGTTTCAGTATTTATCAACATTTTGCCATCTGCCTTCCTACTTTATTTTGCTACAGTATCTCTAAGAACATCCCGAAAATTATTCTATTCTACTTTTGGTATATAGTCATCCCTCTCTATCCATGTGGGATTGGCTCAGAACCCCCTTGGATACCAAAATCTATAGGTTTTCAAGTCTCTGATAGAAAATGCCATAGTATTTGTATATAACCAACATACATCCTCCCACATACTTTAAATCGTCTCTAGATTACTTATAATAATGAATAGAATGTATTTGCTATGTAAATCGTTGTTATACTGTATTGTTTAGGGAATGATGACAAGAAAAAAATCTGCACATATTCAGTTTAGACACAACAATCTGTTTTCTTTTTCAAATATTTTCAATCCATGGTTGGTTGAATCCATGGATGTGGAACCTGTGAATATGCAGGGCTGTGTGCGTATGTGTATATATGTGTGTGTACATATAATCTTTTTAAAAAATCTAACAAATTAATAATTCTCTAATACCATCAATATTACTCAAGCCATATCCCATTTCCCCCAGTTTTCTCAGAGGTTTTTTTGTGAACCTTGTCTGAATTTTGACAGGGTCTTTAAAAAAAACCCACACACACTTTATTTGTTCAAAATTCAGACAAGGTTCATATACTACGTTTGAGTGATATCTCTTTAAGACTTTAAAAATCTTGACCAGGCATAGTGGTCCATGCCTGTAATCTCAACACTTTGGGAAGCCAAGGTGGGAGGATCACTTGAGCCAGGAGTTCAAGACCAGCCTGGACAACATAGTGGAACCCCATCTCTACAAAAAAATTTTAAAATTAGCTGGGTGTGATGATATGTGTCTTTAGTCCCAGCTACTCAGGAGGCTGAGGTGAGAGGATCGCTTGGGCATGAGAGGTTGAGGCTGCAGTGAGTTGTGATCATGCCAGCGTACTCCAGCCTGGATGACAGAATGAGACCCCATCTTAAAAAAAAATACTTAAAAAAATCTATAATGGTTACCCCTTTAAAAAAATTCTTACTAAGACATGACATACACAGTAAAGCACCTAAATCACAAGGGTACAGCTCAATGATTAAAAAAATACTGTGTGTACACACAGTCACACACACATATACACACTTGTAATTACTACCTAAAGAATTCCCTTATTTTGTGAATGTCATTTATTTGTTCAGTGATACACAATATTAAGGCAAAACACTTTAACCTTTTTTGCGTGTTTATATTTATTTCATACAATAATAATTCCCAGTAGCCTTAACTGTTTTCAGCTATTTTTAAAATGTTGAAATACTAATGGAAAAGTTGTATTCCACTAGCATAGCTAATATGTAGGTTAACCTAAAACAACATTTCTTTGTAATTGATAAAACTACAATTTTATCAATTTGGTATGGTAATAGGAGTTATCTTCTGAGACTCACAGCTCTGATTAGCAATCATAGATACTATTTATTAATAAAAATGAAAAAGTTATTAAATAAGTTGTCTTTAGTTGCAATATATGTCTCTCCTTTTATTTAGTCAGCAGTTTTAAAACTTTTTTTGCTTTAACAGTAGGAGTTAATTAGGTTTTTTACTCACTCACTCTACTCACCCCCCAAGTTTTAAAATAAATCTGATTTATTCTGTGTACAGAAGTTTCAGAAGATGGGATAACTAACTAGCAGGAATACTGAAGCCACTGTGATAGAACCATAGTATTTAGATTTGAAATCTAGGGATAATTTAGGCCAACCCGCCTCATTTACTTGGTGAAGTGAGGTGGTTATTAAAAATATTTCCTCAGTGCACAAAGATAGCTAGAGACAAAGATAACTAAAGATTTTTATTTAGTATGCATTGATATGTCTCAGTTATCTTCAGTTTCAAATTGGAACTTTTTATTAGATGAAAAATGAATTTTTTCAGATTTCCATATGATGACCTTGCCTGCCAATCCATGATTCTGTCTGGGTACTATTGCCATATTTATCTTGTGTAGTATTTGCATATTTTATTGTCGTTTGCCCATACTTTAAGAAATTAAGTGGAAAGCTGATAAATGAGGGTAGTAACACTAGTGATGAGAAGTACAGGTCTAAAGTATGTAATATAGTGGAGATGACGGTGGAAATCATCAGGTATGTGAAATGTGGACTGTTGTTAGCCTCAACTGAGTATTTGGTTCACAGAGTTGACTATGTTCAACTTTGAAGGAATAGGACAAAATTAAAGAAATACAGTGTTGGAAATACCAAAAGTTCTGTCTAGGCCGTACGCAGTGGCTCACATCTGTCATCTCATTGCTTTTGGATGCCAAGGCAGGAGGATCCCTTGAGGCCGGGAGTTAGATACCAGCTGGGGTGGCACAGAGAGACTACATCTCTACAAAAAAAAAAAAATAATAATTAGCTCAGCATAGTTACATGTATCTGTGGTCCTAGCTACTGAGGAGGCTAAGCTGGGAAGATCACTTGAGCCCAGGAGTTCAGGCCTGCAGTTATCTATGATCACACCACTGCACTCCAGCCTAGGCAACTGAGTAAAACCCCCATCTCTAAAAAAGTTTCTTTTTAAAGTTCTACCATTGATTAAAGATATAATTAGGAATTAAAATTTTCTAATCTCTTTTTTAAACTATGTTCTACTTTCATTTTGTTTGACTTTTGCACATATTTTCTGGAAGTCTTACATATAAAGTAGAAAGCTGTGTGTACTGTTGGAGAATATCTTTTGTCTTCCTGTAGTAAATACATCTTAAAATTGTTTTTTCTCCAGTTTGCAAGTTCCCAGCTGGTAGGACTTTAAAATCATACTATTTTTAAGTATATGTTTTATTTCTGTTGTAATAACTCCACATTCACTATTTAGGTATAATAAAAGGGTACTTCATTCCCCCGGAATATAAATATCCTGTATTCCTTCTGGCATATGGAACTTAATGAGCCATAAGGTAGAGCATGTCTTCTGATTCTTTCCACACTTGTGTGGCAAGCACCCCCCTAACCTTTACATGCCCCTGCCTCAGCTACCTTGGCCAACAGTGCCACAGGATCACAATGTCTTTGTCAGCCACTGTCTGCCTCAGTGACATGACACACTGAGGAGGAGCATCCCTGCTGCCCTTTTCATTCCTAGGCTGATGGAGAAGGGCTCTGTCTCTAGGCATGAGTAAAACACCAACAAAAGTAGCTATGAGAGTGATATGACATGTGCAGTTCACAAACGAAGAGAAAATTATATCAAGAGGATGTTATCATCATGGCAAGAAAATCCTCTATTTCTGAGTTACAGGAAGAGGTGTCAATGCTCCTCTTCCTCAAAGTAGCACATCTTACAGAAGCTTTCAGTGAAATGCATAGAAGAGATTTCATGATAGCATTATATTTTAAGAAATCCTATGAAGTATTGTTCACCATCGAAGATAAAACGATGTGAAGTACACAAAAGCATCTCTAGTAAATGATAAGCTAGATTTTCTGTAGAAATTAGAGTTTAAAAAGCCAAGGAAGAAGGTTCAGGATTAGAAAATATTACCTTTATTCAAATAAAATCTAGAAATGTTTGCTAAAAAATAACAAGCCAAAAATTGTTAGGAGTAGTATAATTGCCAAGATGATAAATTCGAAGGTTGGTAGTGTGTGTGTCTGTTGGGGGAGGGGTGGTTGTGGTGTGGTGTGTGTGCGTGTGTGTGTGCGCGTGTGTGTGTGAGACTGTGTATGTGTCCTGTATCTATTGAACTGTTCAAGTTCATAATACTTAAGTATATGGAAATTTACCATTACACCACTCAACTACCAGAGAAAATTGTGAGTGTAATAGAAAAAATAATTGCTGGAACCCTTTTTTTATATCAATGATAGAGAGCAATACTATGATTTAAAAAATAGTCTGATTCTATCAGCATAAGCCTTAAGAAAAGGCTGGTCCTATGCCATTCTATTGATTGTTATTTTTAATCCAACACCCGATTCAGATCCAAAGCTTTTCGAAAGGCAGATTTTGTTATTGTTTCAAGTTATTTTGTCTTTTAGCTTATTTCTATTGCAGAGAAGCCAAATATAATTAAAAGAAACAAACAAATAAACCATATATTGCTGACACTAACAAGACCTAAATTAAATTAGTTTTGTAGTTATTGCATTGGTTATGTCAAGGAAAAAATGAATGGATTTACAGAGACTATAACTCATTTCAAGTGGCAGATTTGTTTTCAGCATAATACACAATCTCTTTCTCTTCAGTAATAATATCTTATAACTAGCAATCAATATCTCCATATGATAAGTAGTAGCTTGACAGTGACAAGATTAGCGATAATCTTATCTTTGTTTGACACTGCAGTTTCTGTTATGAAAATATGTAAGCTTTAGAATTCCAGTGGAGAAAGCAAGATGATGCTTTATCATTTTTAAATGGGATCTAAAAATACTTAATTTAAATATTTGAGGAAAGCTTGTTATACCATGAATTACTATAATTTAAGTAATATACAGCAAGGCTTATTCATGTATGCATTTATCATTTAGAATGTCTTGAACTTATGTGAGACAAACTGCATAGCAGATAGAAGCATAGATGTGACCCAGATATTTGGCAGTTTGCTTAATTGGGTTTCTTTTAAAATATATTCACAAATCAAAGCAAATCAAATCATGAAGTTTACTAAATTGTACAACTTCTTTTTCTCAAAGGACACTATGTGAAACTGTGAAGGACTTCGTTGCCAAAGTAGAGAAGACGTACGACAAAACCTTGGAAAATGCGGTTGTAGCTGATGCCGTGGCCAGTAAAGTAAGAAGGGACCCATTAGGGCATGAGATTTGTTTACAGATAATGCTAACATTCAACTGTGTTTCAAAGCTAAATTGATTCAGTGGTTTGCCTGCCAAAACATCTTAAATCAAGAGAAAAATTACTTTTGGGTTAGATCTGAGGATTTTAAAAAATATTCTATTTTACTATTACCCTTTAATATGTAGGAAAACTGCATTGCTGAAAACCTAACTCAAATCCCTGTCCCAGTGATTGACTTTTTTTTGAGACTGAGTCTTGCTGTGTCACCCAGGCTCGAGTCCAGTGGCATGATCTCGGCTCACTGCAACCTCCACCTTCCAGGTTCCAGCGATTCTCCTGCCTCAGACTCCCAAGTAACTGGATTACAAGTGCTTGCCTCCACACCTGAATAATTTTTGTATTTCTAGTAGAGATGAGGTTTTACCGTGTTAGCCAGGCCAGTCTCGAACTCCTGACCACAGGTGATCCATCTGCCTTGGCCTCCCAAAAATGCTAGGATTACAAGTGTGAGCCTTCATACCCGGCCATGATTGACTGAAAGGGAGATGCATAGCAGTCAAACCGCTGGGAATCCCATGTAGCTGGGTTCCAGTGGGGAAAGCAAGGCTTCCCATTTCCAAGCAGATTTAGGCCAGTCCAGCTCCCTTCCAGCATGGTTCTTTGGATTTCCTAGACTTAAAATTCTTGGTCTCTTTCAGAGTGCTGCTTCTTGCATCACCTTTTTCTTTACAGACTTCTTTCCCCCTTCATAAACTAAAATAAGAACAGTTTACCGAACCTTAAAAACTACTGTATTTGCTTTCATAAATTCACAACAGGACCTTTTTACAAAAGGCTCGAATATCTTGGGCTTGCAAAGTGATTAGCTTCCCAAATCCATGCTGTAGATTGCAGTTTAATTGAGTGGAAGAAAAAGATAATAGAAATAAATATACATTTGAAGTTTTCTGCCCTTTTCTCTTGTCTTTCTGCTCTGTGGAGAGTTTCAGAAAATAGAAACTCTCTCTGGCCGTACTTCTGTCTCTAAACTATTTCTGCTGTAACTTTGTCTCAGCATATCATCAAAGACAAATATATGAGGAGTAAAGGAACTAGAAATTTTATGGAGATGAAAGGTATATTGGAGGTAGCATCAACAGCTTCAGTCTTAAATGTTTCTTCACTGTTCATATACAAGAAAAGCAAAAAGATACAAGGGCTTGCCTAGTGCATGTTTTTCTTTCTGTATCCCTCTTCTTTTCCCTCCTCATCCTTGTGCATTTTCCTTCCTGCACTTTATTTGAGCCAATAGTCCCTTAGGCATTGTTCACTCCTGTGCAAACCAAAGCTTTGAAGGGGAGTTTGCCACAACTCAGTCAGATGTGCTGTTTCTGATGCTCAAAATGGTGCCATAGTCAATTACTTTTTTAAAAAAATCTATCCAATGTTTTGTATAATGTATAGCAAATTTTGTGTAATTTTTTTATATAAAGCATCACTTGGTAGCAAAGTGTCTATTGTGTTCTTTGAAGAAAAATAGCTGTATGAACATTGTAAAGATTTTTTTCCCCATGAAATGGAGTCTGAATGGTTCTGAAACTATAAATTAATGATATTCTGTAATGATTGTGCCAATTTTAAAAATTATAAATTATTTTATGTAGTAAACGTCAGTAAAGGCATTGTCCCTCTAAATCAAACACCGTAATTTACATTATCATTGTGTATCTTTACTAAATGGAGATTTTAAAATTAGCTGCTTGCAGAACCAAAATATCTTCAAAATTAAAGGTGGGAATTTTAGTGTTTTTCTCTCTTGGGATTAAACTTTCAAAACATCTCTATAAAAATTTCTTGCACTTTGTCTGCTGATCTTGATTGTTTTTGAATATTTTTCTCATTGCCATATTTTCCTCTCAGTGTTCAGTCCTCAACGAGAAGCTTGAACAACTGCTGCAGGCTTTGCACACAGATTCTGAGGCTGCACATGTTCTCCCAGGCCTCAGCCCTCTCATTGTGGAAGAAGATGCTGTGGAATCATCCAGTGAAGAGTCCCTTGGTGAAAGCAAAGAACAGCTCGTGGATGACGTTACAAAACCATCCTCCCAGAAAGCCGTCAAACCGAGGGAAATCATGTTGCGGGCAAATAGTTTAAAGAAAGCAGTGAGGCAAGTCATTGAGGAAGCTGGAAAAGGTACATGTTAATAAATTTAGCTTTGGAAGAAGTTGGCAGCATTTCTACTGCAAGCATAACCAAGTTTTTGTAGTGGTCAGATTGGACACGCTTTTTAAAAACAAATTTTTTAAGGCAAGATAGAAGATAAAGTCATTCTAATAAAACTTGTACATAGTCCTATATATTGTTATCGTAGTAGCAAGAATCAGCATATTAATGATGAATAAAATAAAATACCAGAAATAAGTTACATGGAAACATTTCTATCTAAAATATAAAACTATTTTAAATGACATTTTAAAAATTTTAGAGTTTACTTAATTGGAATCTGTTGAATTCTTAAAGAAAATCAAACCTGTAAACTACTTTGAAAATATTTTAAAAAAATTTTTTGAGGCAAGGCCTCACTCTGTCACCCAGGCTGGAGTGCAGTGGTGCAGTCTCAGCTCACTGCCACCTCCACCTCCCACGCTCAAGCTATCCTCCTCCCTCAGTCTCCCGAGTAGCTGGGACCACAGGCATGCACCACCATACCCAGCTAATTTTTTTTTTGTATTTTTGGTGGAGATTGGGTTTCACCATGTTGCCCAGGCTGATCTCAAACTCCTGGGCTCAAGTGATTCACCCACCTCAGCCTCCCAGAGTGCTGGGATTACAGGTGCGAACGACTGCACCCTGCCAGAAAATATTTTCTTAACATTAATTTCCTAATGTTTATGCTGCTTTATTAAGAGCTTATAAAAGCTCTGCCTTATTTTAATTTTTAGATTAATGTATATATTAATACTTCTCAGAATTTTAGCTATAGACTAAATGTTAATTTCATTTGTTTTTGCTTTTTTTTTTTTTTTGAGGCGGAGTTTCACTCTTGTTACCCAGGCTGGAGTGCAATGGCGCGATCTCGGCTCACCGCAACCTCCGCCTCCTGGGTTCAGGCAATTCTCCTGCCTCAGCCTCCTGAGTAGCTGGGATTACAGGCACGTGCCACCATGCCCAGCTAATTTTTTGTATTTTTAGTAGAGACGGGGTTTCACCATGTTGACTAGGATGGTCTCGATCTCTTGACCTCGTGATCCACCCGCCTCGGCCTCCCAAAGTGCTGGGATTACAGGCTTGAGCCACCACGCCCGGCAATGTTAATTTTAATATGAATAATTAATGTTCAAAAACCCCTTTATAGGTTGTAACTTGTAATTGTGTTTCATTCTCTAAAATTCTTATATTTTACATTTTCATTCTGATAGAAATATGATTTTGACAACTTTAGTTTTTAATCTTTAGTTCTTCAGACATCAACCCCAAGTTCATTGCTAAATAGTGTTTATTTGTGAATCTGTAATTTCTTTTGGCATATGTTTCAATTTTCCTTTCCTGAGCATATCTTAATATTAATGGGCTTCATTTTTCCTTATCCAAACTATTTATCTTCTTACTACTGAAGTTATGGATGACCCGACAGTTCACCCTTGTGAACCAGCTAATCAGTCCTCTGATTACGACAGCACAGAAACAGATGAGTCTAAGGAGGAAACTAAAGAGGATGGTGCCAAAGAATCATTAACTGGTGAGGAAACTGGGAAAAAAATTATTTTGGAATTAAATAAAGTGTCATTTTGCTTTTAGTTTTCAAAAGACTGATCAGTTTGAAAAAAAACTATTTGTATTCTTATTTTTGAAAAGGCTTTTTAGAAGTTAAAGCTTAGATAGATATTCATGAATAATAAAACAAAAAAGATCACATCTAGACTATTGTCCAGTACTCTCACATTCCTCTCTTATCATGTAATCTAGAGATTATAGCAATAAATTTAGGGTTATAGGACTAAGGATAATTAAATATGTTGGTTTTCCTGACAAAAGAAGAAAGAAACACCTAAATCATCTGATTTTAACCTATTATAGCTCACAGATTTCTCTGAGAATTGTAAGAAAGCTGCTCTCCTAACGCTCCAAATGCACACAATTTGTCATTTAAATGATTTAGCAGTCACCTTAAGTTCCACCGATCAACCTTCTGGGTTGATAGTCTTTATTAAGCTTCAAAATCGCAAGGGGAGAAATGCCAGATGTAGGTGATGGGGAGGAAGGCAGCAAATCACACTGCCACGTGTGTTCCTATGCAACAATTTTGCATGTTCTTCACATGTACCCCAAAACCTAAAATGCAATAAAATAAATAAATGGGGAAAAAAAATAAAAAAAAAACCAAGGCTAACTTAAAAGTACATGCTCTAATGAGCGGTATTGTCTAGATGGATACTTTCAATAAAAGTATTATGTATATGAAAAAAAAAAAAGCTTCAAAATCACAGGATTTTAAAGCAAGCTTGAAAATCACAGGACTTCTAGTAACAGCCCTCTCTTTGTTGAAATTATTTTCACAAGGAAATGAATATGTAAATGCCTGAAGAATGTTAAATATCTTTCTAACTTTTAGGTTTTAATTGAAAGTGAATTTATACTTTTAATATTTTACATTGCCTAAGGGAAAAGTTTCTAACTTACTGGCAGAAATTAAAATATTAATGAAGATGAGACAATAATATGAAAATAAATATGTGGTACTTACGAAAAGTCAACACAATTATGTCAGAGCTGTTTGCAGTCACAATAGACATTGGGGACTGTTAGAAGTGGGAGGGTGGGAATGGTAGAAAAACTAAGTCTTGGGTACTATGCTGTATATCTGGGTGATATCAGTCATACCTCAAACCTCAGGATCACTCAGTATACTCAGATAATAAACCTGCATGTGATCCTCTGAATCTAAAATAAAATTTGAAATTATGAAAAAAAGAAATTGTCTTCATACAATAAAAAGAATTTATGGAGAACTGATCATATACCAGATCAGATTCACATTTTCTGCTTCAGCTATGGCGTGATGAAGACCTTTTATTCCCCATGTTTATGGCCAATTTTCATAGGACTAGTAGTGGTGAGTACATTTTAAATTTTACGTGTTTGAAACATTTCTTGTTAACCTAGCTTTGAAAAAAATTAGATGGTAGGTTTATTAATATGTTGTTGCTAAATTTATTCTAGTTTTAATATGAAACTAAATGAGTAAAATGTAAACTTAATAAGTAAAAGGAAATATAATTGATAGTTATTTTAAATTTAAAAATCTGTTTTCATCTTATTCTCAAAAACTTTTAAAAAGAACTGTTTGCAATCACTAAATTTTTGGCTTTACTTTCATTATATATAAACTTGGGCAAATTTCTTAACCTCTCTGTGGTTTCCTCATCCCTACAATGAGGATAATAATCTACCTACTTCATTGGGTTTTTGTGAAGGTTGAAGAGTTACTATATGTAAAGTGCCCAGAATCGTGTGTGGTAGGTAGTGCTGTCTGAGTGTTCACTGTCATCTTTATTGTTGTTATTTTTATTGCTACTATTACTGCTGCTGCTACCACTAATTACATTAACTGTGAGAGAATATTTTCTTGTACTTAAGACTCTCAAAGACTTTGAAATCAGACCCCATAGACCTCACATGTTCAGCATACAGCCCAATGCAGGCATGTTCTAGGACCCTTGAAGCAGATGGCCACGAGCCTTAGCACCACTCACTTCCCATACATCCCACTCCCATGGTCAGCTTTAATTGTTAGAAAGTCATTCTTTATATTGAACTTTCTATTTTCTCCCTTAAATTTCTACCCATGATTATAGTAATAATTAGGTTTTATGAATGATAGTTAGACAATAACAATGACCAGCCTTTATGTAGTGCTTATGTTAGTTTAAGGAGCAATTCCATGTACATTTCACATATCGAAGAGGACTCTGCCTCTGGAGCCATTTCTCCTTCTCCTCCTCCTCATCCTCCTCTCTTCTTTCTTCTTCCCCTTCCTCCTCTTCTTTCTTTCCTCTTCCTCCTCCTCCTTCTTCTTCCTCCTCCTTTCTTTTTCTTCCTTCTTTTTTCTTCTTCTTCATGTGGCATCCGTTAAATGATACCAAAAACAGCCTTGTTGGCATCAGACCTTCTGTCACCTTACATCTTCTTTTTTCGGATGATCTGTCCTAAAGCTTCTCTGCCAGTTTTTAAATTGATGATTTTAAAACTTTTGTTTTTCTAGTTGCACCCACGTGGTCAATGTTCATCTTAAAATGTGATACACCATTTTAAACAAACTTCAGATATTTTCTGTTGTGTTTTAGCACATTGGTACCCATACACCACTCATTAAGGACATTTTTGACGTTACAAAGACTACCCAAGACTTCTCTTTTTAAAACCATAATTATAGTAGTTTATACTGATCCCAATGAACTTTTATCTTTTTTATTTAGATCTATTATTTCCTCCTCTGAAGCTCTTTTGAAGCTTGATTCCGTCATCTTAAGTTTATTTCATCTGTGAATTTGATAAGCAGGCCTTAGATGTTTTCATTTATTGGAAAGTATTGATTAAAGCATCAGTAAGGATGCTATTGTCAGCTCTGCTTTTAATAGATCTTATACAATGATAATTCCTCCTAAGATGATGGCTGTTAGGAGGATTGGTTTGTCAAAGCTCATTTAATGGTTTTCCAACCGGCTATCATCCCACCTTACCATACTCTTAAACTTGACACTTCCATTGTGGCCTGTAAAAGAAACTAAAAAATGCAAATGTAGTGCTGTAAATATTGATATTGAAATAGACACAGATTTACAAAAGTCTTTAATGGTACAGTATTTGATCTTTATTTTGGCTAGTAATCTGACTTGTTGGAAATGAGTAGCAATAGTGGAAGTATTTCTATATGAAATATTGTTTTTTAGGTACATTTATTATATCATCATGTAATTCATAAGTCTGAGATGTGAGAAATACAGTATATTAATATGATTGATGAGATGCTTTATTTAAGAAGAACAAGAAAACATTAATTTAGTTACCTGAAATGGAACATCAGTCTTAGTCATTAGTACACTCTCTGCTTTTTGTCAGAGTTGAACATCAAAAAGTTGTTTTTATGAGAAATTAGCCCCAGGAGTCCTATCTATTTAAAAAAGGGTGGCTGTTCTGGTACTTTAGTGCAGTTGGGACTGTGTTTGAATGAGAGAATAGAGTGTAAAATTAATATAATTTGTTTATAATTAGTTTTAGGGAGAGTGAAGATAATTAAGTTTTAAAGTATTTTAAAATGAGTTTAAGGATTACTGTTTCTTAAAAATGCCTACCAGTAACTCTTAAATTGTTTAAGGGTACCATTTGGCCTGCATTAACTTGCCTCAGTTTAGGGTTAAATCTTTCTTTTTGTTGTTTACTTTGAGAGTAATTATGTTTCAGAATAATTTTTAGATGTGTTGAGCTTTTACAAGAATATAGAACTGTTTGGGCAAATCACCATTTCGTATAAATAACTGAGAAGAATAGGGAAAATATGTTCATTTCACTTGAAGACAGATGCAAATTTTCTTCCATTTATTTGTTTATTTATGAGACAGAATCTTCTCTGTCATGCAGGCTGGAGTACAGTGACGTGATCATAGCTCACTGCAACCTCAAACTCCTAGGCTCATGTGATCCTCCAGCCTCACCCTCCCAAGTAGCAGGGACTGCAGGTGCATGCCACCATGCCTGGCTTACATTTTTTTTGTAGAGACAGGGTCTCGCTGTGTTGCCCAGGCTAGTCTTGAATTCCTGACCTCAAGTGATCTTCCTGCCTCAGCCTTGCACAGCTTTGGGATTACAGGCATGAGCCACCACACCTAGCCTCGTCATTTATTGAAGACAATATTAAATCGTGTTTCACATGTTTGCTCTGATAATTACATTAATTAAATTTGATCATTCACTTGATGTTTATGAGAAGAGGATTACATGGGTAGTGTGCATTATAACACATATGTTTCATTTTCAAAAATAAGCAGACTTCAGAGGTTTCATTTATCTTTAAATGTGGGTTGATTATAATAAAATTATGCATATTAGTGACCTTTAATTATGGTAGACATATATTTTCTACTGATCTTCTTCTATTTGAGCTTAGAAATTGGGACTTTGGATTCCCTCCATGTAAGTCTCAAGAAAATGTAAACAATAACTACACATAATATTTTCATTTCTACTGATTGTTTAAACATTATTTTGTTTTAAATTTATAAGAATTTGCTTATTTTTATAGCTTTATCATTATCTCTTTCTAATCTGGACTTTTTGCCAACAGTTAAAACTGCACCTCGGTCTCCAGATGCCCGGGCAAGTCATGGCCATTCTCAACCTGATTCTCTCCCTGGTCCAGCTGTGGCAGCCAGCAAAGAAAACCTCCCTGTGCTCAATACCAGAATAATATGCCCAGGTAGTACAGATTCTGAAACATCGTGTATTTTTCAGTATTTCTGTAAAAATGTATAAGTATTTATTTCCATGAACAGTGGAAACATGTTCTTAAAGATAACTATTCTTTTAGTAGAATGTTCTTGTTATACTTTCAGTCAGAATCCAGGCCCTTAGATTCTTCCCTGTACAAAAGTTGCCTAGGAAGTATTAAAACACATGTTTCTGGGCCTGTCCTGAGAAATTATGATTCGGTAATTCTGGATTGAAGTCCAGGAACCTGCATTTACTACGTTTCCAAAGTAAATCCCATCTTACATCACTACTTCTTAAGCTTTCCTTTTGGTGTTTTTTAGTCAGTGTTCTGCTGAATCCTTTTGGTTTTAAGTCCTAAGTCTCTCTGTAGTCATTTTAAGACATCTTGATGTAAAGTATTCATAATTGTGGATTAGGCAATGATTTCTTAGATATGAGAAGCACACGCCACAAAAGACAAGTAAATTGGACTTTACCAAAATTAATAGTTTTGGGATTCAAAGGATATCAGGTAAAGTACAACTTAAGAATTTAAAAGTAATGTATCTGATAAGGGACTGATATCCAAAACATAAAAAGAACTCTTAAAATTCAATAATAAAAAGGTAAATATCTCACTTTGAAAATGAGACAGGGACCTAAATAGACATTTTTTACCAAAGAAGATACACAAATAGCCAATAAATACATGAAAGGATGCTCAACATCATTAGTCATCAGGGGAATGCAAATTAAAACCACAATGAGGTGCCCCTTTATGCCACTTGGATTACTGTGATCAAAATAGACAGATGGTAACAAATATTGGCAAAGATGTGAAGAAATTAGAACCTTCATACATTGGTGAAGCCATTTTGAAGAATAGTTTCACAGTTCCTAAAAAAGTTAAACATAGAGTTTACATGTGACCCAGCAATTTTACTGCTAGGTATATACCCAAGAGAATTGAAAATACATGTCTACACAAAAGCTTGTACATGATTATTTATAGCAGCATTCACAATAGCCCCAAAGTGGAAGCAACCCAAACATCCATCAGTTGAATGGATAGACAAAAGTGATATATTCATACAATGGAATATTATCTGCCCATTAAAAAGAATGAAGCACTGATACATGCTATTACATGATTACCCTTAGATACATTATAGAAAATGAACACAAAAGCCAAATGTAATATGATTCCATTTATATAAAATGGGCAGAATAGTCATAACCCATAGAGAAAGAAAGTAGATAGTGGTTCCCAAGGAACCGGAAGTGGGGTGATTGAAGGAATGGAAAATGACAGCTAATGGGTACACCATTTCTTTGCAGGGTAACAAAAAGATTTTAGAATTAGTAGTGATGGTTGCACAACTTTGTGTATATATTACAAACAACTGAATTATCTAAAAACTTCAAAAGCGTTAATTTTATGATATATCAATTGTATCAAAGTAGAAATATTAAAAGAAAAAAAGGAGGATCAATCTGGAATATACCTGGTTCTGGAAAAGCCTGCAGGTTTAGAGGCTGTGTTCCTATTCCACCTGGGAACCTTAGGATAACCGCTCTGGAATAAAGCTGAAAGGAGTATGGTTAACCCTAAAACATTTTCGAAAATATTAACACTTGGCCAGGCACAGTGACTCATGCTTATAATCCCAGCACTTTGGGAGGCTGAGGCAGGCGGATCACCTGAGGTCAGGAGTTTGAGACCAGCCTGGCTAACATGGTGAAACCCTATCTCTACTAAAAATACAAAAATTAGCCAGGCATAGTGGTGCGCCTCTATAATCCCTGTTACTTGGAAGACTGAGGCAAGAGAATTGCTTGAACCCAGGAGGTTCAGTGAGCCAAGGTTGTGCCACTACACTCCAGCCTGGGCAACAGAGTGAGAGTCTGTCTCAAAAGAAAAAAAAAAGAAAGAAAGAAAGAAAAGGAAAAAATTAACACTTTTCTGTGGGGCAGCTGGAGTATGGCTCTCATCTCTCCAAACTGTTCTTAATGCTTACTAAATTTATTTTTTTATTCGTTCATTTACTTGTTGAAATGTAAAGGAAATTGGCATAAGAAGTATTCCAGAGTATATTTAAAACTATGACATTAAATGAAGGAACAAAATTGATTGTATTTTGATAACTGACTAAATATTATCAATTAAAATAATGAATAATAATTATTCCCTAAGAAGAGCATAGTGCTGAGGATAAGAATGTTTGCTAAAGAGAGGACTTGCTGGCATGGTGGCACATGCCTATAGTCCCAGCTACTTGGGAGACTGAGGCGGGAGCCCTGGGAGATAGAGGCCACAGTGAGCCATGATCACACCATTGTGCTCCAGCCTAGGTGAAGATTGAGACCTCATCTCTAAAAAAAATAAAATAAAAAGAAAGAACTTGTTTTTCTAATTTCCTAGTGTTTCCCTGGTTCCCACAGGTCCCTATTACTTTGTCTCCTCTCCAGACTTGTGTTTCTAGCTTTCCTGTTGGGTTGAGTAGATCATAAAATTCATTAGCTTTCAATACTGTAACTAGTTAGAAAACTAGTTGGCAAGCATGTTGAAATAAATTTGAAGTAAGATAGAGCCTTCATTTTATAGTATTTAATACTATATTCTTCTAAAATTCACAGATACCTACATTTAATACTTTACTACTTATTCTTAAAACTAACACTGGGTTTTCACCTTAATACATCTCTTAATATTTTAAATGGAGTATCATTATCTATGATTTGAGAGTCTGGAAGTGGTAACTCCATGCCATTTTGGGTAATTCTACCTTTATTGTAAATTCCATAGACACTTAATACTGTCTTTGCTGTAACAAAGGAAGTAACATGTATTTGTTGAAGTTATAGTTACTGGGATGGTAAATGGGAAAGTGTCACAAAGCCATACCTATTTAGGGCCTCCTCTCCTTAATTCTTTATGATAACATATAGATCCTTGGAAGAATCAAAAGCCTTGTATTTACAAATGTCTTGGTTCATAATTTTGATTAATGAGAGGAGTAGGCACTGAGAACTATGCTTTTAAAAGCAAGATATTTGATATTAGGCCTCGATGGACTGGTTCTTTTTCTGTTTTTTCTTAACATGCGATCCCATATATATTTGTTTTTCTGTCTAGGTTTAAGAGCAGGACTAGCTGCCTCAATTGCTGGGAGTTCAATTATCAACAAAATGTTACTAGCAAACATTGACCCTTTTGGTGCCACCCCATTTATTGATCCAGATCCAGATTCCGTGTAAGAAAATGCTTTTGCAAATATTTTGTTGGGGGTTTTCTTTTTCTTTTTAACATGAATTGTAACATTTTAAATGATATTACAATAACTATCGGTTGCATATTTTAAAAAGATGATCAGAAAATTACAAAAATTGGTAATGCCAAGCACATTGAGCCATTTAAAATTCATTGGTTGCCATGATCTGTCCCTGAGGTAGGTCCTTTTTCAGGCCATTCTGTCTGAGAGCAACCCTCTGGCAAAGGAAGGCTCCAATAAATAGAACTGATGCTATTCCCTTTACCTCCTTTCTTCTCAGTCTTGCCAGATCTGTCATCTTTCCACGTCAGCTTCTAGGTTTACTTATTTTGGGAATCTTTTGGCCCACACACATATCTTCCCTTCTTAAGACTCCTACAATTTTTTGGCAGTTCAATATACACTTTCTTTTACTTCCATTCTGCTTCCATTTTGCTTTTGTTATATCTCATTTCTGTAATGACAGTCCTCAAGGACAGTACCGTATTTTAAATGTTCCAAAACACCTAGAAGAATGGATTGGATCTAGTACTCTTTTGCTCAGTAAATATTTGTCCATTGTTAAGCGTAGAAGTGGAAGAGACTTTCTAATGATAAACAAACAAAAAAAAAAAGAGAGAGAGAGAGAATTGGCACCTGACTGTAAGGCCCTCCCATAATCACCTGCATTTTTCTGTGTAGTGAGGAACTTCCCTAGAACTAGAACGAAGATGTTAGTAGAAAACCACACCATAACTGTGTGTCTGTTTTGCTTGCTCACCATCCCTTTATGTCACATGTGCCAGATATTGTACATATGTCCTGTGGTTGTACACATGGCATAGGAATAGGAAGCGATTAGGGCCGAGCTTTGCAATCTACTATAAGGAATGGAAGCTTAAATGGTGTTAAATACTATCTTGTGTACATTGTAATTGTAATGAATCTGAAATTGACTTTGATGTACTTTCCCCTATGATCATAGAGATGGATATTCAGAAAAATGTGTCATGAACAATTACTTTGGGATTGGATTAGATGCAAAAATTTCATTAGAATTTAACAATAAAAGAGAGGAGCACCCTGAAAAATGCAGGTAATTGTAGTAAAAGTAATAATGCTGTTACATAAAGGCAATTTTTCCCTCATTTGTTATATCTTTTGCTTGCTCTGCCTTTAAGGAGTAAATAAAATTTCCTGAAACTGCCTGCCAATATTAATTTTCAGGAGCCGAACTAAAAACTTGATGTGGTATGGAGTCCTTGGAACCCGGGAGTTACTACAGAGATCATACAAGAATTTAGAACAAAGGGTTCAACTCGAGGTAAGTTCATCTTAAAGACATTTCACATTATCTTACTTAAAAAAAATATCATTTTTAGAGCTAATTTGACCTAAATGCCTTTTGATTAGTGATTAAATAGTGAAGGGAAAAATGGACATGATTATCAACATTGTACTAAAGAAAGTATATACACAGGATATGAGTGACACATTTAATTATCATCATCATTAGCTCCTGAAATTGGGGCTACTCTGGAGTTGTGGTGCCCCATATAAAAATGGAGCCAAGGGAGCACATTTATAGGAGAGGGTTTTTAATGGATTTTCTCATTTAAGTTTCCAAATTCTGACCCAATTCTTTAATAACCAAAGTTTTGCAAATCTCCAAAAATAACATTTGTAGTAAACAGAATCTTTTCATTTAAATGTATATTTTTTGCTTGAATTATTTCTAACAAGTGAGTAAAATTAAAAGAGATTTTGAGCATTTAAATGTTTTAGTTGTTTTTTACTAATTTAAATAGGAAATTTAGGACAGAAAATTATTTAATTTCTTCCAACAATAGAAAAAACAAGGCTGGAGATATGGCTCTGAAAAGACTATTAATTTCTGTGAATTTTATTTTCTTTTACCTTTGATCCAGGACTCACTGTTTATGCTGATAGGCATGTCTTTCCTATCTTGTATCATTTTATAACTGTATATTTTTAATTAAAGCTTATCATGCATATAGAAAATTATAAAATCTTAAGTGTACAGCTCAACAAAATAAACAGAGCATTATTATTTTGGGTATCATCTGAGCACTGGAAGGTAGACTAAAGAGGTGTCTATCTCATTCTTTATCAACTATATTTCCTAGTAAAGATGAGCCTATTATACCTTTCACTCTAAACATACAACTGTATGGTCAGCTGGTTTGATTTATGATTGCTTACAAAATTAAGGTAGACTTACTGGAAAAAAAGATACAAAATCAGTTTTGTAAATGCTATCCTTGACACCCCATGCCCAGGTCAGTTTAAGTGCCCTTCTAATCATGTAATCATTCTTTTTCTTCTTAATATACCCTGATTGGCCACACTTTTTTTTTTTTTTTTTTTTTTTTGAGACAGAGTCTTGCTCTGTTACCAGTTGGAGTACAGTGGCGTGATCTCAGCTTATTGCAACCTCCACCTCCTGGGTTCAAGCAATTCTCCTGCCTCAGCCTCCTGAGTAGCTGGGACTATAAGCACGTGCCACCACACTCAGCTAATTTTTGTATTTTTAGTAGAGACGGGGTTTCACCATGTTGGCCAGGATAGTCTCGATCTCTTGACCTCGTGATCCACCCGCCTTGACTTCCCAAAGTGCTGGGATTACAGGTGTGTGCCACTGCACCCGGCCTGGCCACACTCTTAAGGACACATAGAAAGCTATTTTCATCTTTTTTATCCCCAGTGTTTAGCACAGTACTGGTCCTGTTTTAAGAGGGAAATGGATGGGTAAGTGATTGCGTTAGCATAATTCTTTAAGTGCTGTGATCAAGCATTGCCAGCTATCTTTAAGGGTTGGAAAACTCGCTGGATCTGAATGGCTGGATGGTCTTAGTTCCTGGAAGAGCCTCAGCTCTTCAGAGATAGATTTAGTAACCTCTTCCACTGGTGGTCCAAATTTTGAATAAGAGATCTTTCTTACACAGCTGCTTTTAATACCCTTTTTAAAAGGGTTTTATCTTTTTTGAGTTGTAGATACCTATGGCATTCTGGTGAAAATAAGGACCCCTTGTCAGAATATTATTTTCAAATGCATTATATGAAATTCAGACTTACAAAAGAAGACTTACCAATAATATTAAAATAAATTAACAACATATTTTATGTTGCTGAAGAATAATATATGTGTTTCATCATTACTGTATCAAATAAAAATCTAATGGCATGTCTAATAAATACCATAACTTAAAAGTAATGATGAGCTTATATTATGGGATATCTGAAACCTCTGTAATGTAATATAAAAATGTCTCATTTCTATTGATGATGAAATCACAGGTGTTACTAATGCCTTTTTTTCCTGCATTTATAATTGAGGGCAATGCTAAACCTCAGGGGTTAGTGAAAATACAGATACAGATTTTTACCACAAAGTTAACAAATTGCCTGAATCTATCCATGGACTCCAGTTTCTGAACCTTAAGTTAAGAACACTTGATATAGACGTATACATTAAATGATAAAAAAGGAAAATGAATAAAACAAGATAAATGAAAACATGTTAATATACATAAAAATAAAGTAGAAAGCCCGGGCATGGTGGATCACGCCTGTAATCCCAGCACTTTGGGAGGCAAAGGCAGGCGGATCACAAAGTCAGGAGATCAAGACCATCCTGGACACCATGGTGAAACCCCATCTCTACTAAAAATACAAAAATTAGCTGGGCGTGGTGGTGTGCTCCTGTAATCACAGCTACTCTGGAGGCTGAGGCAGGACAGTCACTTGAACCTGGGAGGCGGGGGTTGCAATGAGCCCAGATTGCGCCACTGCACTCCAGCCTGGCAACAGAGCGAGACTCTGTCTCAAAAAAAAAAAAAAAAAAGTAGGAAAAGTAAAGCATTCTTTGCCATAATTAACAAAAAATAATGATAATGAAGTAAACCAAAAGATACATTGTACTTCTATGGACAGTAGAAGGCCTGTTATCTAAAAATTCATTTCCCTGATGATGGTTCACTCAGGATAAAGGTGGAGAAGAGAGACCAACACCTTGGAAGGCTCTTTCCAGAGAGATGCCTTCACCAGTGTCAGTCCTTTTTGCTTTTTACTCTTATCTTTTTGCTTAGATAACTTGTCCTTCCCCTGTTGTATTGTGGTATGGAAGGAGACTGACTTCATGTCCTAACTTTAATTTTGTGCCGAACAAAGACTTTTACCTTGGTTTCCCTACACACAAAATGGATAACATAATGATTTTGTGCAAATCATAAATCAGTGAACTAAGGTACTGTAAATCACAGTGTAAATTGAAAAGAACTGTACAAATACAAACTTTGTTTCCCAAGCCACGTTATCAGTGATTCTGATATATACCCAACCTTCAGAAATTCAGAGTGAGATTTAGAAACCTTTTTATAATGATGGGAATTCCAGAAATGTAAAATAACATCACATTATCATATTTTGCTACTTTTAGAGTAGAAACACCTTTCACATGTAAAATGGAAGCATTGTATTAAAATTTCAAACATTTTCCCTAAGAAGGATGGCCTTTTTTGCCCGTAATATACCTACTTTGCATGTGCCAAGCAACTTATTCTATTTATTAACTGAAATAATAACTATATACTATGTCAAGTCCCGTAAGTACTAAGATAGGTGAAGAAAAACAAATAACTTTAGGCTGGGTACGGTGGCTCATGCCTGTAATCCCAGCACTTTGGGAGGTCTAGGCAGACAGATTGCCTGAGCTGAGGAGTTAGTGACCAACCTGGGCAACACAGTGAAACTCCATATCTAATAAAATACAAAAAATTAGCTGGGCGTGGCAGCAGGTGCCTGTAGTCTCAGCTACTCAGGAGGCTGAGGCAAGAGAATCGCATGAACTCGGGAGGCAGAGTTTGCAATGAGCTGAGATCACACCACTGCCTCTAGCCTGGGTGACAGAGCAAGACTCTGTCTTAAGAAAAAAGAAAAATGAAAAGAAAAAAAGGGAAGGATGGAAGGAAGGAAGGAAGGAAGGAAGGAAGGAAGGAAGGAAGGAAGGAGGAAGGAAGGAAGGAAGGAAGGAAGAAGGAAGGAAGGAAGGAAGGAAGGAAGGAAATTTTAAAAAACAGGCTATCATGAAATATGTGATAGAGAACAAGTGGTTGTTTAATTAACATTTTTAGTTATTTCAAATCTTGCCATATCTGCATCTTTTTAAAAAACAAAATAGTTTATTATATAATAGTAATTTCTATCTTTGTTTTATTTCAGTAATAACTAGTTGTAACTACTTTTTAAATCATTTAAAAATAATGGAAGTTTACTGTATGCCTTTAATTCTTACAGCTTCATGAGATAGGTATTATTATTCAGTTCAGAGGAGTTAATGCATTTGCTCAAGTTCAAACAGCAAATAACTGGAAGAGCCAACATTTCAAATCTGGTGTTTTTTCCATAAGACAATTTGTAATTATAACGGAAGAAGAAAATTTACTGATTTCCCACATGTGTTCTAGATGCTTTCCTCTACCTTATCTCATTGGCCTCACTGTGTGCTAAGAATTGTTAGCCCATTTTACAGATGAGTAAAGCGAAGCTCTGAAAGCTTAAGGGACTTAGCCAAATACTAAGTGATAGAATTCAATCCAGTTTCACCATCTTCTCTCCATATCATATTGTCTGGTGAAAGAAGCAGACAAAACAAACACTAATGAGAAAAAAATACATAGCTGCAGTTGGGTTGCATTTTGCAACATCATGAACCACACATAGAAACATGGAATGGCTAGGGGCCAGATCTGGTGGTGTGCACCTGTGATCTCAGTTACTTGGAAGCATGAGGCAGGAGGATCACTTGAGCCCAGGAGTTCAAGACTGCAGTAAGCTCTGATGGCACTACCACATTCTAGTCCGGGTGACAGTGTGATACCCTGTCTCTCAAAAAGAAGAAGTAAATAAATTAAAATGACAGAATGTGGGGCGATTGGAAATATTTCTTTAAAATTTAACACTCCTAAAATTTTTCCTGGATATAAGAAACTTTTGAATCATGTAAATTTGTTAATTTGTTGAACCGGTGCTCAAATTCGTGTTTTTCCTAGGAGACTCTATGAAATGGACATTAAGCATTTAGATTTAGGTGTGTTGCTTAATACATATATATGTTCAGTTCAGCACTGCACAGGAGACTTCCTTCTGAAAATGTTTGTTTTCCATTCCATGTTTGCAAATAAAGTGCATCCATTTAGAAAACGTTTTTAAAATATTTCTTTTATATTTATAGAGATAGTATTTTTTCCCATTTCCTTTGTTAGTCATATGATTTAAAGCAGCTTTTTCTAAATCACATAAATATATCTGTTCAATGTATTGGGTTGAGGAAACATTTATTATTCTGCTAAGTATGTCATATTCATTCATTGAACAAATATACATTGAGCACCAATTATGTGCCAGACATGCCCCCAGGTGCATGGGCCTTTGAATGTGAAAAGCTAAACCTGCTAATGGTTAACACTGTGTTTTCATAAAAAAGAAAAAAAGGAATCGTGAAAAATGCACATGAAGGTAAATCATATATGAAGTCTTGGTTATTTAAAGTAGTTGAAATGTGTTTAAACTGGATTCTCATTTGTTCTAAAGGTGGAAGATCTTTTGGTTTTTTTTTTTAGTTATTTAATAAAGGTTTATTAAGGATTTACCAAATCCATGCACAGTGCTAGACCTTGAAGATGCCAGCCCTGTATAATTTTGAGCTTGGTACAGAAGTATTACCGTTCACAACAAATCAGCCAATCCTGGCCTTCACCCATTACTACCATTCCAATCAGCCAGTATCCCTGAGGTCTTCCCAAGAACTGACTTTGGCTGCATTAGCAAACACAAGTTTCAGTGTGATTCTGATGGTGAACATTTTTTGTAGTACTTGGGGATGAGATTAACCTCCTATGTACCCTCATTAAGCTCTTGTTCTTCCTCGTTCTCAGATTCACAGAGCGGAGAAGTCCTTAATGGGGTCATCTTGGACCAGCTGTAACAATTTCCAAATGTTTGCTGGTCTCTTCCCTGGATTTTCACCAGTTTAGGAAGTTAACTTGGAGAATCAGAGCCGCACTACTGAATAGACAGAGAAAATATTGGTACTCTTGACATTGAGACCTTTTCCTTCCATCTTTCCTATACCCAAACCATCCCTGACCAGTGGGACTTAATGCTCTTTTTAATGAAATGTCCCATTACAGAAATTCTTCCCCTCACCTTGGTTTCTACCCCAGAACAGATTATTCTCTCACAGTCTCAGAAATACTGTTTCTTTCTGTTGACAGATCGTTTTTATTTGTCATTAAAATGTAATTTTTAAGAAGCTATGCTAATTATTTTTAATATAAGAATTATTTATTGAAAATATAGCATCCATTTTAGGTGTGACATCTGCAGGCTCTTCTCTTAAAATGAAGGCTTAAATATTTCCATTGGATTAAATGTTCTCTTAGAAAAATGTTAAATGGTTTGGTTTAAATGCTAATTAAAATAATAAGTATGATCATAAAATTTATGTAACATAATTATGATCATTTTTGTTGAGTAATTTAAAAAAATTAGTTTCATAACTGATTGTCTCCTTAACAGCCCACTAGGCTTTAAGAGTTAATAGATTAAACAGCATTAATTGAAATTAATTTAAGAAACAACATTTATTAAAAGGTAACAGTTCTGCTTCTACTCAGTAGGAATTTATTCATATCCCTTCATCAGCCATATCCTTTTTTTCCATTTAAATGGTAATTTATTTTTCATCTAAGTGATTAATGAGAAAGTAAGGACGGCAAGGAGCTTTCTGAGATGTAGATATTTTTGCTTGACTTTGGTTCTGACTACATGATGTACTCAGCTTTGAGTTTCACCAGTCCCCAGGTGGTTGTAGAGCCCCAGCAATGTACCAGGGACTGTGAAAGGGGCTAAGTGAGATGGTTAGGACCAACTTGCTCTTACACGGCCTGCTTTAAAAAAGATGCTTAAAGTAAGTACATAGAGGACCACAAAGCAGGTGAAGTATTGTAAGAGGCCTGAAAAAGACTTGAGAAAAGTACTGCCTGGTTTTGGAGGAAAGAGGTAAAACATTTTTTTTTTAAATCAGTTTTTCTAATAACTTCTGCCGTGGTTATTTGTACTTCAAATTTTTTTAATTAAAAAAATAAGATAAAGGCCTTGGTAACGTGTAGTGAGCAGACATTACCAACACACTCTGCTCCATTGCCTTTCACCTTTAGTGTTCTGCTATCTTCCCTACTAGTGATTTTGCTCTTTTTATATAATCCCTACTTTTTTTTTTTTTTTACCTTACAGTGTGATGGGCAGTATATTCCTCTTCCCAGCTTGCAAGGCATAGCCGTGTTGAACATCCCCAGCTATGCCGGAGGGACTAACTTTTGGGGTGGAACTAAAGAGGATGATGTAAGTAATGGGAGTAAATAGTTTGTTTCCTCAAAAATAATTAAGTCACTGTAATAATTTGCTTTTGTAAATATGCTTATGAATTGTAATTTAATTTCATGTTAAATATTTTCCATTGGGAAAGTGAGGCATGGAATAGATTTATTTAAGATTTTATTTGAACTGTCTCTTGTGGATGTACTCTTAACTTTTCTCATGTTGAAGATACAGCTATCCATATCTTGGGATATATGTCACGATTTTCTGGATGAATATTAAAGAATCTGCTTTTGGAAAGTAGATTTATGAAATAGAGAATGGAAGATTTTACTTTTTAACTTTATATCTGCATGTGTTTTCTATAGCTGCTATCACAAGTTAAGACAAATTTAGCCACCTCACACACATTTGTCATCTTATGGTTGTATGATGATACAGTGGCACAGTCTCACTGGGCTAAAATGCAGGTGTCAGTTGGGCTGTTTCCTGCTGGAGGCTCTAGGGGAGACTGTTTCCCTGCCCTTGGAGTGTCTGGAGGCTACCCACATTCCCCTCCATCTTCAAAGCCAGCAAAGGCAGGTTGAATCCTTCTCATATGGCATCTCTCTGATCTCTGCGGCTCCCTCTTCCACTTTTAATGACCACTGTGATTACATTGGGCCCACCTAGATCACCCAAGATCATCCCCACCTCAAAGCCCTTAATTTAATCACATCTACAAAGTTCCTTTTGCTATGTAAGGTAACAGATTCACAGGTTTGGGGATTAGGACATGGACATTTCAGGGGGCAAAAAGGGGTATTCTGCCTACCACAATACCTTTCAGTACTTTTAATTTTCTTTTTCATTGTTGTTGTTCTTGAGATGGAGTCTCTCTCTGTTGCTCAGGCTGGAGTGCAGTGGCACAATCTCACTGCAACTTCTGCCTCCCAATTTCAAGCAATTCTCCTGCCTCAGCCTCCCCAGTACCTGGGACTACAGACACGCAACACCACACCTTGCTAGTTTTTGTATTTTAGTAGAGATGAGGTTTCACCATGTTGGTCAGGGTAGTCTCGAACTTCTGACCTCAGGTGATCCACCCATCTCAGCCTCCCAAAGTACTGGGATTACAGGCGTGAGCCACTGCACCCAGCCTCAGTACTTTTAATTTTCTAAACTTGTGTGTATATTTTTTTATTTTTAGAAATATCAAGAAGGTTCATTTGGCCAGTCAGGTTTAGGGCTATTTTGTTTTTGTTTTTGTTTTTTCATACTTTTCTATATTTAAAAAGAAGAAAACACAACCTCACAAATGTAATTGTTGTGAAAAGAATGAAAGAGAGGGCACAATTATTGAAGTATATATATCTCAGTAAAAATGAGAAGTGTTATCACGGTCTTTATTTGATGAGCCATATCCACTGATGTGAGTTTATGATATAATGATATAATCATTCCTACTAATCCATTTTTCTCAAGGATCTTAAATGAACAAGTAGGGATTAAAGTATAAGGTCAATTGGAAAGTATTTTTGATTTTCATGACATAAATATATTCCAATAGTATTTGAGTTTAAAAATATTTTTTGTCAACTTGTTATTATTAAGTATTTTGAAGGGGAGAAATCAGTGAGATTAAGATAAATAAAGCCAACATTCCTTGAACACCTACAAGATAGACAATGTTCTAAGAGCTTCATATTAATTATTTAATACCTACATTTCTTATCAAATTTTTACCACTGAAGAATCTAAGGCAAAGTTTCCAGTTAGTAACAGCAGAAACAGGGTTTAAATCCAGGTAATATAATAACAAAAATTATAAGAAATCATCAATGTTAGCAAATTTGTGTCCTGATATTTTCAGTGAAAGTTTTAATTAGCATGCTACTTTATACTGAAAATTGTTTCAGATGCATATTATTTATGATATAGTAAAAGAGAGAATAAAAATAAGGTAGTACAGCCTACATATAAAATTTTAGAGTAAATTAATTTTGTAAAAATGGATTTAATGTAAAGACAAAATAAGCCTGCTTGGTTTTTATCCTCTGAGGTTTCTATTTCCATACTCTCAAGTACCCTCAAAAGTTTTGTATTAAAATATAAAGCACATATGTATATTGCTTGTAAAACCTTGAAATATTTTCCTTAGAATATATCAAGTGAACTGGATCATAATTTGTATCTTCATTGCTTTAACCTTATGAAACTATATCACCTTTCTATGAAAATGTATAACCTTTCTAATTTTTTTTTAAGATTTCCAAAACTTCCATGTATCATCTTATTAAGACGTTTGAATTAGGCATGACCATGTATTTAACATGTTTTATACCAAGATGAATTATTTAGAAATATATTAGTTAACTGGTCCGAAGAGTAAGAGTAGCTTTATGAGCGGTATGAGTAATAGATCCATGTGTGTTTGAAAACCCTTTTTAAAGCTATGTTTATTTTAAGTCATCTTCAGAGATTGTTACATATGTTATATGTTATATATAGTTATATATGTTATATATAATATGTTAAATATATATATGTTGCAGTTTACATTGCCTGATGTGTCCTTCATCTAAACATTCAGTAGAAATGTAATGTAGTTTTTCCTTTCAGATATTTGCTGCACCATCATTTGATGACAAGATCCTGGAAGTTGTAGCAATATTTGATAGCATGCAAATGGCAGTTTCAAGGGTCATTAAGCTGCAGCATCATCGAATAGCCCAGGTTGGTTTCTCTCATCAAACCCGACTGTACTTCTTGGGCAAAGGAGGGTTGGGGGAATCTATTCTAAATGACTCCTATACTGGATATTCATCTATAATATTCTGACTTTGTCATACCAGTTTTTACCATGTCATTATAAGTGATAAAGCATAATTCTCTATTCTGTAGAATAGACTAATACTCAAGCCTGAATATAGATTATCATTTTCTCCAGATGATTTGTACTCTACAATAATTTGTTTGTTTTATTTCAGTGCCGTACAGTAAAAATCACTATATTTGGCGATGAAGGAGTCCCAGTGCAAGTGGATGGTGAAGCATGGGTTCAGCCTCCAGGGATTATTAAAATTGTGCACAAAAACAGAGCACAAATGCTAACAAGGGACAGAGTATGTAACAAAAATATTCTTGTAGAATATAGTCAAGTTTTTTTTAAATCTGAAATTGTTATTAAAAAAATAGAAAACAAGGAAACATTTAAATTGTCTCTTCAGTCTGACATTTAGGCCATTGTGGTTTGGAATATTTATTTATTCATTTTAGTAAGACTTTAGTTTTCAGAGCCATTTTAGGTTTACAAAAAATTGGGCAAAAAATAAAGAGAATGAATTATGTTCCTATATACTTCTTCCTCCCTCTTCTTCCCTACACATGTAAATTCCCCTGTTAACATCTTGCATTAGTATGGTGCATTTGTTACAATTGTTGAGTCAATACTGATTGATTATTATTAACTAAAGTCCATAGTTTCCAGTACTCTTTGATTTGCACATCTGTGGATATGGACAAAGATATAATCACTTGTATCCACCATTGCAGATTCATACCAAATAATTTCTCTGCCCGAAAAATTCCCTGTGGATAAATAGGGTCCCTATTTATCCCTTCCTCATTCACCCTTACTTCTGGGAATCATTGATTTTTTTTATTGTCTCCATTATTTTGCCTTTCGCAGAATATGTGTTTTTAGTTAAGGTCAACCTTTACCAAACAAGACTGCCAATATTCACCCCATCTAGTACATATAAAATAGTAATGATTAAAGAATAAATTGAAACAGTAGTAAAGATTGAAGCATGAAATCATTTTTTGTTTATGTTTGTTTGTTTTTGTTTTGAGACAAAGTCTTGCTCTGTTGCACATGTTGGAGTGCAGTGGTGCGATCATAGCTCACTGCAACCTTAAACTCCTGGGCTCAAACAGTCCTCCCACCTCAGCCCAGCTAATTAAAAAAAAAAATTCTTTTTGTAGAGTTGAGGTCTCACTATGTTGCCCAGGCTGGTCTCCACCTCCAGGCCTCAAGTGATCATCCTGCCTTGACCTAAATCTCTTTTTTAAGTTTTCGTGATCATTGGCTGCACTACTTTGTGTTGCAGTACATTGGAGAATTTTGAAATGTGTTTTTTATAATTGTGATTTATTTGAGGAGTCATGAGAGAAAAAGCAATTATAGGTTTATTAAAGTACACATTTACATGGACCTCTGAGTTCTAAGCTAACAGTTCATTGCAATATTGATTTTAAATAGGCCTTTGAGAGCACTCTGAAATCTTGGGAAGATAAGCAGAAGTGTGATTCTGGTAAACCAGTTCTCCGAACCCACTTGTACATCCATCATGCCATTGACTTGGCAACAGAAGAGGTGTTACAGATGCAGCTGTGCTCCCAGGCTGCAGAGGAGCTCATTACTAGGTACGGGGACTCTGCTGGCTTTTCAGACTGTGGGAACTCTAGTCTCAGCCAATTTTTATTTTTTTAATCTTAATACCTTCTTTCAGTAGTGTTATCAAAAAGAGATACAATTATTCTTCTTCTCATAGCACTCTTTTCATCATTGTTTATTCTCCATTTTGTATACAGTCTTTACACTGTACTACCCACTTATATGTAGTCTTCTAATTACTAATTAAATGTTTATGGAATGTAGAGGGAAGTCTAAACATTAATCCTGTTCCACAGGAGAGTCAGGAGCAAAAAGAATAAAAAGACTTCAAAAACCAGTTTCTGACAAGATATTAGAGAGATTTTGAGACCACATATAAATTAATTTCTATAGACAGAAAGGAGATAAGAAAGAAGTCCTCTGAGTGTTAAACAAATAAAAATCACTTTGACCAGGGAAAACTTCAGAGGGGAGGTGTGTTACCTCCTCTTCACCTGAGTCTTATCCACCAAATGGGGCTAATAAGACTTGTTTCACCAGGGTGTGTAAGGATTAAATGAAACTCTAGGAATGGGTGCTATAAGTACATTGTATTAGTCCATTTTCATATGGCTATGAAGAACTACCCGAGACCAGGTAATTTATAAAGAAAAAGGGATTTAAGCCTGGGCACAGTGGCTCATTTCTGTAATCCCAACACTTTGGGAGACTGAGGCAGGTGGATTACTTGAGGTCAGGAGTTTGAGACCAGCCTGGCCAACATGATGAAACCCCATCTCTACTAAAAATACAAAAATTAGCTGAGTGTATTGGTGGGCACCCGCAGTTCCAGCTCCTGGGAAGGCTGAGGCAGGAAAATCACTTGAACTTGAGTGGTAGAAGTTGCAGTGAGCCAAGATCACACCACTGTACTGCAGCCTTGATGACACAGTGAGACTCCATCTCCAAAAAAGGAAAAAAAAAAAGGAGGTTTAATAGACTCACAGTTACACATGTCTAGGAAGGCCTCACAATCACGGCAGCAGGCAAAGGAGAAGCAAAGACACATCTTACATGGCAGCAGGCAAAGGAGAAGCAAAGACACATCTTACATGGCAGCAGGCAAGAGAGCATGTACAAGGGAACTGCCCTTTAAAAAACCATCAGATCTTGTGAGACTTACTATCTTGAGAACAACACAGAAAAATCTCACACCCATGATTCAATTACCTCCCACCAGTCTCACCCACAACATGTCGGGATCATGGGAGCTACAATTCAAGATGAGATTTGGGTGGGGAGACAGCCAAAATATATCACATATCACATCTGGCATATTGAGTGCTCTGTTCATGGTAACGATTAGATTCTTCCCATACCTTCATCTGGTCACCTATAAAAACGTTGAAAAAGTAAAGAAGGAAAGTAAAGCTCAGTGGTTTCAGGGGCTAACTCACATCTTTCCTCCACCCTACTATTTGCCACCTGCTCCCCCTACCTTCCTCACTCACCTTTTTAAATATTTATTATGTAACTAGAATGTATGAGATGTTAGAGACATAAAAGACATACGCCCCCTACTGCTGGACCAATATTCAGAATTAGAATGAAGTCGTATACCTGCAAAATACTGGGCAGCTCAGAAGAAAGGAAAGAGAAAATGAATATTTACTCAGCTAAACCCACATAGCTGCGTTATTGTACATCTTTGCCTCTTATCCATAGGGATGCTAGTTTTAGGGTAAATACAGCTCTTTTAGATACTATAGACAATTTCTGTGGCCTCTGATTTACATTTTTTTTTAAACCAAATAATGCTTTCCATGTTCTCATCCTATGAACCAACCAAATAATCTTATCATAAAAAGGAAGTTGTCTAGGCTTGCTTCTGGTCAACATAGTTTAGCTCCCCATCTGTTTTTAAATTTTGCTGATGAAATCTGGCTCACTTGTCTATTTTCAGAGTTTATTTATTGACTATGCAAACATATTCAATTTTTGAGCCTCTTCTGTAGGCAAAGCACTGTTTTATGCCTGGGATACAAGATGATTATGTGGCAGCCCTACTTAATTGGCTCACAGGTTAGTAGGAGGGAGAAATGTGGCCAAAGTGTTAACATGAGACACACAGTGGGCTCTCTAGATACACAAAGGCAGTCAGAGGCAGTCAAGGAGGGCTGCCTGCAAGAAGTGACCTTTCAACCAAGTCTGGAGGGAAGAGTAAGAAAAGGAGCAATTTAAGCATGGGAACCAGCCTAGGAAGAGGCCCAGAGGAGTATGAGTGCATGCTGCTTTCAGGCAATCTCAGAGTTTGGAGTGACTGAAAGGTTGTCATAGTATATGCAAGAGTGTGGGGAATGTAGATGAAGAGGTGAAGAGGAACCAGATCTTTATTGGGCTGTTCTAGAAGTAGTGTGGAGGGTTTTTTAATTTTGCTTGTTTGTTTGTTTTTTGGAGGACAGCAAAGCTAGGGCAAGGTGAACACTGAGAATGCTGTAGGAATTGTCCTGATAAAAAAAATGATAGACTAACAGGGAGGGGAGCATCACACACTGGGGTCTGTTGGGGGGAAATAGGGGAGGGACAGCAAGGGGTGGGGAGTTGGGGAGAGATAGCATGGGGAGAAATGCCAGATATAGGTGAAGGGAAGGAAGACAGCAAATCACACTGCCATGTGTGTACCTATGCAACAATCTTGCATGTTCTTCACATGTACCCCAAAACCTAAAATGCAATAAAAAAAAAGATAGACTAAAGCAGTGGAGATAGAAAGGACAAGTGAGATTAAAGACAGTTTAGGATTTAAAATTGGTAAATGGGCATGAATTAGGAGACAGGATGACCTTAATGTTGTAGTGAATGGCTGGATGATTGTGGTGCCTTTGATGGAGCCATAGGGTTCAGGAAGAGCAGTAGGTATTAGAAGGAAAATGTTAGGTTCCATGTTGGACTTTAGAATTTAAATTACATTAAAAATACTTACGAGATTCCATAGGCAATTAGAAATGTTAATCTGAAGTTGATTTACCTATTTCCCTTTCTTTGAAAATTAGAATAACCTTTATCCATCTCTGTTCTTCTGAAAAATAGCTCATTCTTCATGATTTCTCAAGGTTGCTGATAGTAGTGCTGAGGTAACATTTGCAAGTTTCTTTGTACTTTAGATATCCATTGTATAATTCTTAAGAATTAAATTATTTTTCTTTACTCTTGGTTCAGCTGTATTCGGCTTCTGTCCCTTTTCTTGGTCTATCCTTTCCAGATTGAAAGTCATTCTCCATGAAGCTGTCGGAAGCAAAAACAGTATTTGAATAGTCCTGCCTTCTTGTTCATCTGCAAGCCTTACATCATTTTCTAGCAAGTGGAGGAACTTTTCCTCCTTTCTTGTCTTTGGCTTTAGTACCTTCCAGGATTTGGTCTTTTCAGGGCTATTCTTAGAGGTTTGGATACCAGTGGAGTATGGCGCAACAGGCTTTGGAGTTGGATAGACATAGATTCAGATCCTGGCTCTACCACTTGCTGGCTCTGTATACATACCATGTCTGTCTGAGCCTCAATGTCATTGTCAGTAATGTGGAGAAAATAAGTCATAGCTACATTTAAAGGCTGTGATTATTAACTTACACACTGCTTATGATCACTTTGTGTATCGATAATAAATATGGTAATGCTCTTCTCCAATCTGTTGCATTTGCAGTTTCAATGAATGAAGGAGAAGTTTCTATTCTTTATATTTGTGATCCCTCTCACTTTCTAAGGATACTGCAAAATGAAGCATTACTATATTTCATTCTTCCAAATAGCCGTTCAGTCTGTCTTTCTTTGATTGTAAGCCTAACTTTTTATATAAAGATTTTTTATTTCATAGTTTTTGTTGCAGTGGGGTTTGGATTTGTAAATCTACCTGTGCCATTCATAATTGATCAACCATTAAAAATGTTCTTCTATTCTGATCTTCATATGTTTTTTACTTGTTTTATCCTAATTCTTCTAGACTTCAAAAAAAATGAGCACTACTCAAAAAAAGTTTTCATTTGTTTCATTTATGCTTTTAGAATTTGTGACGCAGCCACAATTCACTGTCTTTTGGAGCAAGAGCTGGCCCATGCTGTGAATGCCTGCTCCCATGCCCTGAATAAAGCCAACCCAAGGTGCCCGGAGGTGAGGATCTAATGGTAAATTCTCATTCCACAGATTATTTTGGGTGTTACACATATATTTTAATACTGTAAAATATGCCATGCCCTGTGAAAGAAAGTTATGTCATCTGTATGCGTCTCTACAAACTTATGGTAAATTTGTGGCCAACTTTTTGTTAATTTTCCTTTTCCTGACATTTTTTCATTCCCCCTCTTAAATCCTCTCATTTTTTTATGTTTCACTTTCAATCACTTCTTACCTTCCATCTTCCTTCACTTCTTTCTTTTTTTAGCTTTTATCATCCTTTCTTACTCCTTCTTTTACTTTACCTTCTGTCCTGTACCTTGTTAAAGGGCAAGCCTAGATATCATCAGCATGCATTTTGTTGTGCCCTGAAATTATTCCTACTTCATTTTGTTTTGCTAAATTGGAAATTGATGCTTTTGTTAAAATTTTAATGTAGAAGTTAGAATGGATAGAATATAACTCTTGAAATACGATACATGGTGCAAAGCTATACTAGAGAGAAAACTGATAGTGTTATTTTATTTTTTTGATTATTTGATTGAAATTACTTAAGTTAATATACAATTAAGTGATTGTTCTCAAGATTATGGTCTAAAAAGCAATATGGTTAGTGCTACTGAGAGTAAAAGTTTTCTTTGACCTAACTTTTTATTGGGAATATGTATATGCTGGTGCTAGCATACACATATTCATCACGTAGAGGTTGTGATACTGAGTGTATTCACTGTAGTCAGTACATTCTTTTGGCTCTGTAATATAATAATGAGATAGTCATGCTAACAAACGTATGAAATTTTGCAATTATAGAACTTTGGTAGATTTTTAAATACTGTGAATTTAAGTTATAAGAATAAAATGTAAAGCATTTACTGGTAATGAAATCCTATTTTAATACAGATCACATGTCTTTGATACTCTTCTTTCCTAGAGTCTTACAAGAGATACCGCCACCGAAATAGCCATCAATGTGAAGGCACTGTATAATGAAACAGAATCTTTGCTAGTTGGCAGGGTTCCTTTGGTAAGGAAAAAAATGATTGGTAACACAAGAATGATGAATTAAATGTCTGGATCTTACGTTCATTGGGAAACATGCATCCAGCAGATTCTAAGGCAGAAGCAGCCTTCTGGCTTCCATCCTGAGAGCTACCTCTTCACTTGGCTTTTGTCTTCAAGAAAATATATGGCTGAAGTTGGGAGTCATGATTCATGCTAATAGGAGTGGAGATTTCCCCTCATATATGCCATCCTGTTTTTATGACTGCTCTGCCCCAGTCAGCTTCAAGAGACATGAACTTTGTAAAGTGTAGTAGACATTCCTCAGGTACTTACTATTGCACACAAGTAGAGGAACTTACCGAGTTTGTTCCCTGAATTAACTTTTAATATGATTTGTATGGTCCTCCAGATTTACTTAAAAGAGTACATTTTCTAGACACAGTGTTTCAAAAACTAAATTTCAGAAACTCTGCCTAGTTTAATCCAGATTGGTCCTGGAAATCAAGTTTAGGCCAAGTCTGAATCTGACCACAGCCCATGGACCTCATGCATAAATGCTGGAAGCTATGTGTGTCCTGTTTGGTTAGCAGTGAAAGTTAGTCTTTCTTTATAAATACCTCACCATTTTCAAGTATTCTAGCATCTTGGCTCTTGCTGCCACCTAGAGTTTGATTGTGGCGTATTCCCACATGCTGTTATCACTGTGTGGAAGGCCTAATTCATTTGCTGTTTTTTATTCTTTTTTACAATTCTGATTAGTTGGTAGTTGATGATCTTAAAACATTTCTTTAGACAGTAATTTTCTCTCTTGGTTGGGCAAATCTACACCTAAATAAAAGTGATACTAAGAGTCATAGTATCTGGCACAGTGGGTGAATGAATGGGAGGTGTGTCCCACACACCTTGCTATTAAGTGCCTGAGCTTAGGGTTTCTGTTTTCACCTGTGGTCCAGAAAAGTGCCACCTTTGGGGAATGCTTTGCTCTGAGAAGTGAAGCTGAAAGGCTGCATGAAGGCCATTGCTCTTATCTACCTCCAAAGGAAACTGAAACAAAACTTCTTTGGGACAAGGGGTGGCTGGCTCTACTATGGCCAAGAAGAAAACCTTTTACAAAGAAACATTGGTTATCTTGTTTGATAAAACTAATGGAACCCCTTCTTGGCTATTTTTGGCACTACTGTTTTTAACCAGAATCTTCTGCTGCTCTTCTAAAATAAGTCCTATAGAAAATCCAGTGACCTGTGAGTTGGGTTCCAATTTTTGTATTGAGAACATGTATTTTTATGTTTTTGGAAGTACATTGAAGATCACTTCTTACATCTAAAAGCATAACTTACTCTGTACTTTTCTCTAAATGAAAAGTTGCTACTGAGTACTACCTTGCTAATATTTATTATTTGTATTATGTTAATACGGAATGACTTTCCTTCTCCACTTTTAATTTCCTTTCATTGTTAAATATGAATTTTGGTTTAAAATATGTACCAATGAATTTTACCAAAACCTTTGGCAATAGTGATATCACAATAAGGAGTTGATTATATTTGAGAGCAACTGGTTTACTCTTTATTTTTAGTGCCAGAATGAATTTGTAATAACCATTTTATCAGTTTTATAAGACATATTTTTAGACTAAAAGGAAAGTAGTAAATTTTACACACAACAGGGTAGAGAATCTTTTTTTTTTTTTTTTTGAGACAGGGACACATTCTGGCACAGTGTTGTGATCTCTACTCACTGTAGCCTCAGCCTTCCTGGTTCCAGGTTTCTCCTGCCTCAGCTGCCAAGTAGCTGGGCCACAGGCATGCACCACCACACCTGGCTATTTTTTTTTTTCCAATAGAGACAGGGTTTCACTGTATTGGCCAGGCTGGTCCTGAACTCCTGCCTTCAAGTGATCCACCCTCCTTCTCAGCCTCCCAAAGTGCTGGGATTACAGGCATAAGCCACCACGCCCAGCCAAGAATCTCCGTGTTTTTAGTCACTACTAGAAGTGGTAGATACTGTGAATAACAAGGGGAAACAAAAAAAATAATGTTCATAATAACAGTAATATTATCTTGGAACTTTTAGTTCTAAAATTTTATGAACATATTTGTAAGAACTCTATAATTTTAAAGTAATTTATAAATGCATTGATTAGCTAGAAGAGACCTCAATAATAATGTAGTTGGCTGGGCTCAGTGGCTCACGCCTATAATTCCAGTACTTTGGAAGGCTAAGGCAGGTGGCTCATTGGAAGCCAGGAGTTTGAGACCACCCTGGCCAACATGGTGAAACCCAATCTCTACTAAAAATACAAAAATTAGCTGGGCATGGTGGCATGCGCCTGTAATCCCAGCTACTTTGGTGGCTGAGGCACAAGAATTGTTAGAACCTGGGAGGTCAGGGTTACAACATGAGCTGAGATTGCGCCACTGCACTTCCAGCCTGGGCAACAGAGCAAGACTCTGTCTCAAATCATCATCATCATCATCATCATCACCATCATCACCTTGAGTCACATTGTGCTATTTCCAGAGGAGGAAACAAAGGCTTTTGAAATCAATTAACCTTCCCTTGGTTACATAGTTCATTCATTACAAGGCCAGGAGTAGAGTCCAACTGACTGCCTACCAGTTCTGTGCGTAGGAGTGTTTATTTCATCTTTATTCATTTATTGAACTTGTAAATGCATTTTAATAACTGCTTTCAATGAGTTAATGCAGATAATAGGTGAGCAGTTAAATTCTCTTTAAAGCATCCAAACCCAGTTTCAGATGATAAGCCATTGAGCTTTTTGCTTTGCCCCAATTTTTATAGTTTTTCATCACAGATTTTTTTTAAGAGTTGTGGGGATTTTTTCCTTATTCTTTAAATTTTCAAGATTTTTCTGCAGTTCTTCTTATATGACAAGTTTTTTGCTGGTTCAAGGGTATTATTTGTTCATGTAGTGTGATGACCTTTTTTTTTTTTTTTTTTTTTTGAGTCAGAGTCTCTGGCTCTGTCACCCAGGCTGGAATGCAGTGGCTCTATCTCTACTTACTGCAAACTCTGCTTCCGGAGCTCAAGGGATTCTCCTGCCTTAGCCTCCCAAGTAGCTGGGATTATAGGTGTCCAACACCATGCCTGGCTAATTTTTGTATTTTTAGTAGAGATGGGGTTTCACCATGTTGGCCAGACTGGTTTCATACTCCTGACCTCAAATGATCCACCTGCCTCGGCCTCCCAAAGTGCCGGGATTATGGACATGAGCCACTGCGCCTGGCCTGGTGACCTATTTAAATCAGAAGTATTTTTGGCACAAATAAGTAGAATAGTGAGACTACATACATCACAACCAGGAAGAATGGGTAGATAAATGCTTGGGAAGCATGAAGGAGGGGGATAGTAAAGAAGGCATTTACACAGAAAAAAACACACCAAAAGAATACTTTTCTATGAAGTTATTAAAGTTACAATAGCTACTCATATATGATCTTTGGGACGTAATGAGTGGATTAAATCTATCCTGATTTTTTTAAATGAAGTCAATATAAAATAATGTATTTTCTTAATATTTCTTAATTTAAAAAATATTAGCTTAATAGGAAGTGAGGCTGTTCGCTGTCAAAGTACAATAATTTATTCTACTTGAGGGTGGCCAGTGAGTCTTGTTTCGTTTTGTCTTCTAATCTGGTAAATAGCAGCTGGAATCACCACATGAAGAGCGCGTATCCAATGCCCTACACTCTGTGGAGGTGGAATTACAGAAACTAACAGAGATTCCGTGGCTTTATTATATCTTACACCCAAATGAGGATGAGGTATGTCAAATTCAGCCTGTTTCTCTCGAAATATAGACCATATCACTGTAGAATTTGAACTCATCTTTGAAAAAGAGATATTTGGAGGAAAAGAATTTTGAATACTACTTTCAAAAGTACTGTTCTTGAACAAGTAAGAAAAGGTATTTATATGAACAAAGGCATTTTTTGGGAATTGGGACATTTTCAGTAGTACATCATGAACGTTTTTTGAAGAAGTTGTCACCGTTCTATAATGTTTAGTGTTTATAACTTATTCTCCTGTATTAGCTCTATTATCAGAGTAGGTTTTTCTCCTTTTCATATCCTGAAAAAATTCTTTTCTTGTTCGATTTGAACAGGAACCTCCTATCGATTGCACCAAAAGAAGCAACAGAAGCACAGTATTTCGAATAGTGCCAAAGTTTAAAAAGGAAAAGCTTCAGAAGCAGAAGACAAGTTCACAGCCTGGTAGGTGGTCCACATGGGAAGGGGAAGTGTAACATTATGAAAAAAGAATTGATTAAAGGGATATCATGGAGGACATGAAAATATTCTGGAGCTAGATGGTGGTTGAGCATTGTGCAATATGATGAACATACTGTCATTGAATTCTACACTTTAAATGGTTAAAATGGGGAATTTCATGCTTTATGAATTTTACCATAAAAGAATACCTAAAACACATCAGACTAGCAGTGGGAATCTCTAGTAAGGAAGCACACACAAAAAATGAAGTGGTTGCTAATTTGCTTCTACTTTGTTTAGTGGATGGTAGCATTTCCCTTCAGATGGTTCTTTCTCAACAGCAATTCAAAGCATCAGTGTATAATTTGGTTTTCTTCTTTTAAGTACAATTTTTAGATTACTTTGATAAATGGAATATAAAAACTTTCATTTACTCATTTAATTTGCCAAAGTTATATATATATTTTTTTTTCTCCTGTTTTAAGGACACTGTTTCAAACCCTCGGCAATGACAATGTGCTGTGATACTTGCATTCGCAAGCAAAGATTAAGCCCCTTCTTTTGTGCTATTTCTCTCATTCCTTTTTCACCTTTCCTGAGAGTTTAAATGTACAGGTATGCTAGTACTAAACCACCTTCAAATTCTGTTTATACAATGGTAGCTGCCTTTCATAACCAAATCATTTTATAAATTCTTCTCAGTGCACTCTTAAAAAGTGATGTAAAGCCTTATTTGTGATATTTATAAAGCAGCTATTGAAAACCATTTAAAAAACAAATATAGCGAAGAAGTAGGCTTTTATTAAGCTAATCAATGTTGAATAAAATGGATAAGCAAATGACACACTAAAAAATAATGTAATCCAACTAATCTCAGAGAGCCGTGCTATGGAATTTTTAAATAACATTAAATTGTGATTAATAGCACATTGATTGCTGTTATTATCAATAGTAGTATAATCAATCAAGACGATACTTGAAGTCAGCAAGACCTTAAGCAGAAAAGTTTGTGTAAAATTGAATAACCCTATCAGATTTTAAATCGTAATTAGCCTTTGTAGATCATCTCAGTCTATAGCTATCTTCATACAGGGTCTGAAGGAAATCATCAGAGCTTATATAGAGTTTGTACCATTGATCCTAATGATGTGAAATACATTTTGTATTCATATTGTGTAGATTGGGTGGCATTAATGAAGAAATTGGACGAAAGCTAAGCACGGGTGCACGGCAGCATTTTGTATAGTCGGATCCTTGTGTTGAGTGTGTAATCTGCATGGGAAAAAGTGGAACTACAGTTTTGTTGAAAAACCACCTTTCACCTTTCTTTTGCTAGCGCTGCCGCTGCACTCTGTTTTGCATCTTCTTTGGCCAGCCCTTGCTTTGTAATGCATTGAGCATGTAGAAATTAAGGGGGTTTTGCTCTTAACTTTGGTAGTTCAGAAATGGGGCACAGAGGAAGTTGCTGCTTGGCTGGATCTGCTCAATTTGGGAGAGTACAAAGATATCTTCATCCGTCATGACATCAGAGGGGCTGAACTTTTGCATCTGGAAAGACGAGATCTTAAGGTATTTCCTTTGTGCTCTTCTGCTCTTGAAAATGTTATTGCAAAATGGAATCTTTTCTCCTGTGCTTCTTTGATATGTGCTTTCCGCTTCGCTTATGTTATGCAAATGTGTAGTAATCTAACATTCACTGTCCTGTGGTCTGAGTTCCTTCTATGCTTTTTAACAAGAATGTCAGCAGTATTTTCCTGTTGGAATCACTCTATTATAACTAAAGCTTAGCATGAACTTAGTAATTTTCTCTGCATCCAGTGATATGACTGTTCCTGTGCTAATATTTCCAAATGGATCATGTTTCTATCAACTGCTTTTATTGGATCAGCATGGAAGGTGATAATTTTGCTGAAAATGACTAAAAAAACTAATATATGGTTAACAACTAAAAATTCATTCAAAATACCAATAACAAAGCCTTTCTAATATATGGAATGAGATGAGAGACTTACAGCAACAGCTAATTAGAGTCTTACAATTTTGTTGTGTTTCCAAATCAGTCTTTCTTGGGTCACATGAGCAACTAGACTGAAAAATTTGAATTTCCTTTCTGTGACATATTGTTAAAATTCTATTATTCTCGAAAAGAAATTTTTTTCTTTAGTAAATGAGGTAAAAATTTTGCCTAGCTTTTGCTAGAAAACAGTTCAGAGCCTGTTTGTTACTTATGATGATAGAGAAAACTCATTCATTTACCATCTGTAGCATTTCCCTTTTATTCTTTGGGTAAAGTCTCAGTAGTAGAAACAACTAAATTAGGCTCTCTGGCCAAGGTTTAGGAATAGGATTTTGTCATGTATTTTCTTACCACATACTGCCATTTTAAATTTCTAATAAGTAGTAACATTTGTTGGAATGATCCTTTTCCTGTAGACTAAGTTCTAAAATGCATTAAATTTTATAATACAGAGAATTCCTAACAAATTATTGAACTGTTGCACCTTCATCTACAAATATGTTAGCAAAGATCTTTGAATAGATAATAAGTAGTATAAAGATCTTTTTTCACGAAGAGTTTTAGCACGTCAAAAGGTGAGCACCACTTATACCTAAACAACTTTAGCCATAATAAAAATAAAATAATTAATTAATTACCTTAGCTAGTTGAGAGTCCTAGATCTGGAACATAGCAAAATATGTAGTAGTAGAGTTCATAAAGCAAAAGTTGGCTTCCAAGCTTGAGATGAGTCCACAAAATAGTAAATGTAGGGGGGATCATGATACCCAACATGTTTGTGTAACTTCTGATATCCTTGGCAGATAGCAATATTTATTAATGATGGATTAAAATATTATGCTACCTTCTCTGCATGATACCTGCCCTCTAGAAGCATGCATCGCATTTGCTTTGAATAAGCATACATTCAAGGAAAAGACTGTGTGTGTATGTATAAAAATATTCATAAATGCATATATGTGTAAGTATTATAAATTTACATACAAACATATAGATATGTACAGGTACACATGCAATGAAAGAAGCAGAATGAATGTGTAGAGTGGAAAAATATACACTAAGGCAAAGTTAGATAAGAATAGGAAGGAGATGGTTTAGAATTATGTTAGAAAATGTTCTCATCGCTTTTCATGGGACTTTTTTGTTCTGTTTTTTTATTTTTATTTTTAATGCAAATTATATTCTCTTAAAACTTTTCTTTTAGAAATTTGTATTGACATGGATTTGCATACTCTATTGGGTCTGAAACAAGGTGTGAGTGGGGGATGAGAAAAGAAACATTTCACAGAAAGAGACTTCTGTAGCACAAAACCATAAAGCTAGAGAAGAGCTCCCCTTGTTCTTTGCAGTTGTAGCCATCAATAGCGGCAAGCCCTTCAGACCGAAGGCTCTAAATGCTGGTGAGGGATCACTCAGCCCTTAGGTACCCCATTGCTTTCAGTACTACTTATGAATATGTCAGTGACCCACAAGTTCTCTGTCAGCCCTACCTGACCTGATTTGTGAACTTTTAGATTATAGCACCAACTGACTACTTGATAATCAGGTATTAACAGGGATATGAATCTGTTTTTGCTTTTTAAGAATTAATTTATTTTTATTTATACAAAAATATATGAATACGGCCAGGTGCAGTGGCTTACTCCTGTAATCCCAGCACTATGGGAGGCCGAGGTAGGTGGATCACGAGGTCAGGAGATGGAGACCATCCTAGCTAACACAGTGAAACCTGTCTCTACTAAAAATACAAACCAATTAGCCGGGTGTGGCATGCAGCTATAGTCCCAGCTACTTGGGAGGCTGAGGCAGGAGAATCACTTGAACCTGGAAGACAGAGGTTGCAGTGAGCCGAGATTGTGCCACCGCACTCCAGCTGGGGTGACAGAGCGAGGCTCCGTCTCCAAAAACAACTACAACAACAACAAAAAAATATATATATGGGTACAAGTGCAATTTTATTATATTCATACTGGTTAAATCAGGGCTTTTAGGGTATCCATTACCTGAATAACATATATTGTACCCACTAAGTAATTTCTTATCCATTCCGTCCCCTCCCCTACCCCTCTGAGTCTCCATTGTCTATCATTCCACTAGGTCCATGTATATACCGTTTTTTAACACCCACCTATGAGTGAGAACATGCAATGTTTGTCTTCCTGTGTCTTCTTGTTTCACTTAAGATAATGACCTCAAGTTCCATTCAAGTTGCTGCAAAAGACATGTTTTCATTCTTTTTTAAAAAATTCTTTTCTATGGCTGAATAATAATTCATAGTATTTATATGCCACATTTTCTTTATGCAGTCATCCATTGATGGACACTTAGGTTAGAGAATATCAATCTTAACATGCCCAAAAGCAAGCTCGTGAGCTTCTATCACACTCCTGTTCTACCACTCCTCCAGTGCTCTGCATTTTAGTAAATCAGACCTCTGGCCTTCCAGGCACTCTAGGCACCTTCCTCTTTTTTGTCCATCTTCCCCTAACCCATCAAGCCCATCACCAAGTCATAGTGATTCTAATCTCCGTTCACTAATCTTTGTCTCCTGTTCACAATGCTGCTCCATGCTACTGTCCAGTCTTGCTTGTGTAAGGTCAGTAGCTTCCTAACTGGTCTTTCCACTGCTACTCTTTGTTTTCACAGTCCAGATCCGCATTGCAACTAGAGTGTTATTTTAGCATCATCAATCAGGTGTACACTTTTCTGCTTAAACTTCTTACAAGCTTCCCATTTCTAGGGAATAAAACCCCACATCTTTATGCAGGCCTACAAAGTTCTGCCTGTGTATTCAACCTGCTGTGAAGTCTCTGGCCCCTTCCTGGGCTATGCTTCATTCATCCTGGCCCTATTTCAGTTGCTTAATAATACGACACCTTTTCTCACCTTAGGGATGTACTCTCTTTTACTGTGCTTCTTGCCCTACCCTTCACCTTGTTAACTCCTGCTTAGAGATTAGCTCAAGTGTTACTCCCATATCACCAAAACAACTAGACATAGCAACGTGACCGTCTAAAATATGTATATAAATATATTTTTTTGAAGAAAAAAATATATTTTTTTCAAAATATATATATATAGTATATATAAATCTATATTATAAAGATATATAAATCTATATATATATATATATCTTTTTTTTTTGAGATAGACTCTTGGTCTGTTACCCAGGATGGGGTGCAGTAATGCAGTCATGGCTCACTGCATCCTCAGCCTCCTGAGCTCAGGTGATCCTCCCACATCAACCTTGTGTGTAGCTAGGACTACAGGTGCATGCCACCACACCCAACTAATTTTTTTTTTTTTTTTTTTGTTAGAGAAGGGGTCCCTCTGTTTTGTCCGGGTTGGTCTCAAACTCCTGGCCTCAAGCAGTTGGCCTGCCTTGATCTCCCAAAATGCTGGGATTACTAGTGTGAGCCACCACGCCCAGCCAGGAACGTATTTTCAATGTGCTTTTGCAGATAAGGAAGCAAACTGATTGCATAATTTTCTTTGCTAGAACACAGTAGGATTCAAGAAAATGGTAAACATATGGTGAGGGTTTTCTGTTTGGTTTATTTTTTGTTTTTTCTATTTGGAAAGTTTTATATATATGGCTGGAAGGATAACTGAATATCTAGAAAGCATGCTTTGTCAAAATTTGGACTATTTATCCAAGGAAAGAGAAGGTTACTCATAAAGAATATAAGAATTAATATATAATGATATTTGATAAAAATAAAGATATAACAAATGTCACGGCATAACTTTATTACAACCTATACCCTAGAAGACATAAAAATATTGAACTCAAACTAAAACATCAGAAACAATTGCAACAAAAGCCAAAATTGACAAATGATATCTAATTAAACTGAAGAGCTTCTGCACAGCAAAAGAAACTATCATCAGAGTGAACAGACAGCCTACAGAATGGGAGAAAATTTTTGCAATAGATCCATCTGAACAAAGGTGTAATATCCAGAATCTACAAGGAACTTAAACAAATTTACAAGAAAAAAACAAACAACCCCCATTAAAAAGTGAGCAAAGGACATGAACAGACAGGTCTCAAAAGAATATATGCAGCCAACAAATATATGAAAAAAAGCCCAACATCACTGATCATTACAGAAATGCAAATCAAAACCACAGTGAGATACCATCTCATGCCAGTCAGAATGGCAATTATTAAAAAGTCAAGAAACAACAGATACTGGTGAGGCTGTGGAGAAATAGGAACACTTTTACACTGTTGATGGGAATATAAATTAGTTCAGTCATTGTAGAAGACAGTGTGGCGATTCCTCCAAGACCTAGAACCAGAAATACCATTTGACTCATCAATCCCATTACTGGGTATGTATCCACAGGAATATAAATCATTCTATTATAAAGATACATGCACATGTATGATTATTGCAGCACTATTCACAATAGCAAAGACATGAAATCAACCCAAATGCCCATCAGTGGTAGATTGGATAAGGAAAATGTGGTATATATACACCATGGAGTACTATACAGCCATAAAAAGGAACTAGATCATGTCCTTTGCAGGGACATGGATGGAGCTGGAAGCCATTATCCTCAGCAAACTAAGGCAGGAACAGAAAAACACCACATGTTCTTATAAGTGGGGGCTGAGCAATGAGACCATGTAGACACAGGGAGGGGAACAACACACACCAGGGCCTTTTGTGGGGCAGAAGGAGGGAGAGCATCAGGAAATTTAGCTAATTTCCTGATTATGGGGCTTACTACCTAGGTGATGGGTTGATAGGTGCAGCAAACCACCATGGCACACTTTTACCTATGTAATAAACCTGCACATCCTGCACATGTATTCCAGGACTTAAAATTAAATGAAATTAATTTTTTTTTAAAAAAAACTATAGCTAAGAGGTTAATGTAACTCTATGGAAAATCTTCTTCTCATTTTATACCAAAATGGTAATTCTAAATACATTCTACCTCCTCCAAAGAAGATTTTGTCTTGATAATACAATGTATATATGGCCTAAAATAAAATATTTAATATTTAAATATATTTTGAATTGGATATCTATGTTTTCACAAAGTGTAAAGATATTTAAATATTCCACTCAAAAAATCTAAATGTGCCTGTAAATGCATGTATATTTCAAATTTAGGCAGCAAGCATTGGTATATTCCTCTAGGATTTGGCCTTGCTTTTAAGCTTGATACTTCAGCACATCTTCAGGAAACGTATAGTTGCCTTAGGACTAATTTCGGATGCCCTGTGTCATAGGAGAAAATATTTTTCTGGGTCAGTTAAATATTTATGAAATATCTTAGAATTATCTCAAGCTTGACATAGCATTGGCTAGGGAAAGAGTATTTTCCAGAAGGATTCATTACTGCTAAAAACTCCAAGAGCTCTTAAAGGGTAAGAGGGAGAGAGAGAGAGAGAGAGAGGCAATGACAAAAGAGTTAAACCAGTTTGATCTATTTCATTTAAAAGTTCAAAAATAAATTACAAACAGGGTGGCTATTTGGAGTCTTTGTCTTCTCAGACAAGTTATTTTATTTTATAACCTTGTTTTTTTAGGCTGTTTTGTAAGTCACCTTTTTGATAATTTTCAAATATTTCAGTTTTTTGAAGAAGTTTGACTTCACGTGTTAGCACACTGACTATGCCCTTTCACTTAAAGAAGCTAGGATTTGGAGGCCTTAACTCCTTCTTTTAGTTTTTCAGAGTGCATAACTAGTGGTTATTCACCCTTGGGTAGGTTTAATTCATTCCTGCAACAAATATTTGCGAAGTACCTGCTGTGCACACTCTGCAGTCATCATCTATTTCTGAAAGTTAAATATTGAATTCTTGGCACTTATAGGAAGAAGTTTATTTAAGAAACAAGAATAATAGTTTTGAGAGAAAAGAGCTAATAGTGTTTTGAGGGAAAGCATCAACCAACAGATAATCATGTTTAAGTAATTTTTTACACACCTATGTTACAAAGTATAAAGACTGTTTAAATTAAATATTCCTCTCAAGTCAAAAACTTGTAATGCAACTGCAAATGCATTTACAGTCCAAATTTATGTAGCAAGTACTGGTATCTTTCTCTAGAATTAGGTCTCACTTTTAAATTTAATATTTTAGCACAAGAAATGTTGCCTTAGGACTAATTGTGGGTGCCCTGATGTCCTGCATCATTTTTTTCCCGGAGATTCCAAAAGAGCCTTTCAAAGAGAGAGAGAGAGAAAGGAAAGTAAAAAGAAGGGAGGGAGGGAAAGAGAGAGAGAGAGAAAAGGAAGGAAGGGAGGGAGGGAGAGAGAGAAGAAAGGAGGGAAGGAGGTATCAGAGACTAAATTGGTTTTGACTCTTGAAGGACTGCCACTGTGTGTAATTTCTGAGAATGTCACAGTTCAGGTTTTATGTAGAATGTGATTTTTTTGGTACCAGTTGGCAGTTCTTTAGTGTCAGGTTATTTTTGTTTTATGAACTTATTTTTCTAGCTTTCACTTCTTGTATCACTGAATATAAGCTAAAATGAATGAATTGAATGCTAATTATGTTTCTTGCTGGTTAAATATTTAATCCTCAGTTTTCTATAATCGGTAAACTTTTTTCTTTTCTTTCATTTTTAAAATTTTCTTTCTGCCTTTTTTTCCTTTCATTTTTAATTCTTTCTACCTTTTTCTGTTCTTTTTCTTTCTTTTTTTTTTTTTTTAGGACCTGGGGATACCGAAAGTGGGCCATGTGAAGCGAATTCTCCAGGGAATTAAAGAGCTCGAAAGGAGCACTCCACAGTCGGAGGTGTGATCATATTGGTGCTATTCCTTGGAAGAGAAGTAATTGCCACTTAATACAAAGTCCTTAGAAGCAAGTGGCTGTCCTTGTACTTTTCTGCATAGATAAGTAAGCACCACTGAAGCACCTCTGTGGCTTGATATTTTGCTGTGGGTGAAATTTTGATTTGAGGTATTAGAAAACATTTTTGTGCCAAAAAATACATTCCACAAAGCCATTTTCTTATTGTGCAAACCTGACATGTTCAAATATATTCACCAAAGTAATAAGGTAGGAGGAATCTGAGATGATTGCATTGTCTAAAATGTGGAATTGCAAAGTTCACTTTCCTTAGATCTGGTCTGATGGAATGTTCTTACTGTGCAACTGCATAACAATATGTGGTTAAAACTTCCAGGGTTTCATTATTGGAGGCATTGGCCATTTTCTTAAAATCATAGGTTAGGAGACTAAAATATAAATTAAGTTGTGTTTTGAATGTAGGTTGGTATCACCTCCGACTCCTAGTGCTTAGTGGTCAAAGAATATGTCGAAAACCGGTCAGATATTATGAATGAATGCAAATCTTAATGCACGATGTTCCTGCCTGAAATGTCTTTCTTTTTCTTGCATGTCACATCTAATATTGTAACACCTTAATAGCTTTAATGTCAGTTTTAATGGGATTTAATTTATTACTAAAGTACATTTTTGTTGGCTAAGGGCACTGCACTTTTCTGTTTTTTAATGTGGAATTTTGTGTAAATATTCTGTACCTAAGACTTTGTGAACATATGTCTGTGCCATAATCAACAAATGATATACATTTTATGCAGATCAATTTTATTTCAATCTGTCATAAGCAGTAGGCGTGCACATTAAGAAAATTCTCTGGGTATTTTCATAAAATTACATGTTCCTTTACCTGACAAATTTGTTGCAGCTTTCCAAACCAAAATTTCCACATTTTGTTTCTAATTTTAAATTTCAATTTAATAATTATTTAATATTCTATTTGAATTTATAATAGACTGTTGATATCCAGAAATTCTCTGAGGTCCCAACTGAGATTTATATACTGATGGACAACCCAGACTTACCCACTGTCTACAATGTCTTCTGACACGTACTTCCCAACAGAAGGGATTTAAATTTTTTTCTAGTTGCTATTATTATCTCACTTAATTCTTAATTCCTGTCAGGTGGATATTATTTTCCTTTTTCTAAACCACTCTACTTCACTGTAGCTTATTAGAAGTCAACATTACAATGATCAAATCTTTGAAAGCCAAAGGCATACGTATCAAAAAGTTACAAAAATATCCTTAAATAAGTTTTCTTTAGCCATTATATACCAAAATATAAATTATAATATTTGAAAGTATTATATGTAAGAGAAACAAATAGGGTACTGACTCAGTGGTGGCAATTTTCATAAAGTAGCCTGCTAGGTGCTTAATAGATATATACACACACAGATATATACATATACACATATGTGTATATATACATACATACACATATACATTTATATGTATATATACACCTACATATATATAATCTTGAGATATAGCATCATTGATATTTTCTGGACAATTATTTCCCCAGTGTTTAAAGAGAAATACTAATAGAGCAATTAAAATGAACTATTGTCAGGCATATTATTTAATTACATGAAAGGAGTTTATTTGACGCTTTTGTTTATAACTTGGGTATTAAACTACTAATAAAAATCACAAAATCTGGATGTCTTTAAGATAAATCACCCTGAAGTTCCTGAGCAAGTATGTCTGACTATATATTTTACCTAAGTTGTAAATAAATGGAAATTTTCCAAAGACAGTTATATCAAGTAGTTTAAAAAGAGTCATGAGGCTGGGCGTGGTGGCTCACGCCTGTAATCCCAACACTTTGGGAGGCTGAGGTTAGGAGTTTGAGACCAGCCTAACCAATATAGTGAAACCGCATCTCTACTAAAATTACAAAAATTAGCCAGGTGTGGTGGTGGGCACCTGTGATCCCAGCTACTCAGGAGGCTGAGGCAGGAGAATTGCTTGAACCCAGAAGGTAGAGCTTGCAGTGAGCTGAGATCACACCACTGCACGCCAGCCTGGGTGACAGAGCAAGACTCCATCTAAAAAAAAAAATTGTCATGAATTAATTATTCTTTTTTTTTTTTTTTTTTTTTGAGATGGAGCTTCACTCATGTTACCCAGGCTGGAGTGCAATGGCGCGATCTCGGCTCACCGCAACCTCCGCCTCCTGGGCTCAGGCAATTCTCCTGTCTCAGCCTCCTGAGTAGCTGGGATTACAGGCACGCACCACCATGCCCAGCTAATTTTTTGTATTTTTAGTAGAGACGGGGTTTCACCATGTTGACCAGGATGGTCTCAATCTCTTGACCTCGTGATCCACCCGCCTCGGCCTCCCAAAGTGCTGGGATTACAGGCTTGAGCCACCGCGCCCGGCCATGAATTAATTATTCTAATTTTATCTGCACTTACGAAGTCAGAGGTCTCCTTTTTAGTCCCTCTGATAGTCCCACCCAAGTGCCGTCCTGCTCCTGTAAACACTTTCCTGTGAAACCAAATAGGAGGTGCCAGGTTCCCAGAACTCTTCTGACATTGCAGATCTCTGGCCATCTGTACTAAAAAAAAAAAAAAAAAAGAAACGTGAGGGAAGGAAAGGGAAGAACTCTAGCATAAAGAATGTATTACTATATCTATATTCATTTTCACCCCCTATGCCCCTTTGCTAATAGAAAAAAATCTAGCTATGATGTGTCCCAAATTTAAGAGTGTGATGTGAAGGACTGAATTTTGTTTGTTTGTTTGGTGATCTTTTCCTTCTTAGGTAACATCTTTTGTACATGCTTTAAAGTCTCAGTTAATGGAATCCTACGGTGCATTTCTGGCTAGCTCAGTCGGTAGAGCCTGAGTCTCTTAATGGAATCCTTAATGAGCTAGAATTTTTCTGCAAATGGCTTTAGATGAGGGAAATTCTATAAAATGACAATTTGGATATGCTTTTTGTTAAATGAGAGCAATTTTCTCTGTATGCTTTGTCTGTGCATGGCTGTGCAGGGCCCAAATGACTTCACTGACATCTGTTTCCAGGAGGGGGTCTTCAGAGCCTCCTTAGGCCCCTGTCAGTATCATAAAGAATTCATCTTCTTATATCAGATGGGGTTACCCTCCCCCCCAAATAAAAAGTAGGGAAGAGCTTCTCCATGGAATCAGGTCACAGCTTTGGGGAGTGGGATGGGGCCTCTGTGCTTTGATCCATGCATGAGCTGAGGTGAGAAGCCCCCACCTGCACCTGACTGCAGTGACTGTAATGGCTGGAATTGTCACCTCTTCACCTTGATAGGCTCTCCCACACCTGGAGGATGGGGGCTGGGGGAGGGTAGGGAAGGGGAGGGAGTCAGCCAGAATGTATTTTCTTTCACTCCATTTCCTGAGGGAAAACTTGCTTTTAAATGAGGAAAGGGACAGAATCAGACCTAAGTAAAATTCCTGAGTAGTCAATATTTCTCTTCAGTGTCTCTCCACCTCCCTTTCTATTTCTTTCCTACATTCCGGCTCTTCCATTTTCCCAGTGCCCAATACAGTCATGGTTGCTGAAATTCTCACAGCCTCTACTTTCCTTTCCCCATCAATTACCCCACTATAAAATGACCCCTTTCATCTCTCCTTTCCTTAAGCATATATGGTGGGTCATTTAAGTGTTAGGAAGAAAACTAATTTAAAGAAACTAATTTTACAGTTTGCATTCTATAAAAGGACACTTGCTAGATAATCTAAATGAATTGATAGATTAGATAATTTGAGACTGTGATATATATTGCTTTGCTGACAAGAGAGGAGCCATGAATGTCTAGATCTTTGCTGTCCGATATTCTAGCTACATGCATCTATGTAAATTTAAATGTAATTTAATTAAGCCAGGCACAGTGACTCAAGCCTGTAATCTCAAGTGACTCAGGAGGCTGAGGTGGGAGGATGGCTTGAGGCCAGGAGTTTGAGACCAGCCTGAGCAACACAGTGAGACCCTGTCTCTGAAAAAACAATTTTTTTAAACTAGATGAGCACGGTGGCATGCGCCTGTAGTCCCAGCTACTCTGAAGGCTGAGGTGGGAGAATTGCTCAAGCCCAGGAGTTCAATGCCGCAGTGAGCCATGATCATGCTACTACCCTCCAGCCTGGGTACCAGAGCAAGACTCTTACTCTTTAAAAAAATTAATTTAATTAGAAATTTTATTTCTCAGTTGCACTAACTACATTTCAAGTGTTCAGTAACCATAGTGGACAGTGCAAACGTAGAAAATTTCCATCACTGCAAAAATTCTATTGGACAGCACTGGTGTAGATCATTGGTACTCAAAATGTGATCCATAGGCCAGCAGTATCAATATTATCTGGGAGCTTACAGAAATGCAGAATTTCAGGTCCACTTCAGACCTACTGAATCAAAATCTTCCTTTAGCAGAATTTCTCAAATGATTAGCACTGACCTACATCCATTTTATCCTTCCTTAGATATTAGGGATGTGATGTCTGAGGTCTTTACAAGGTGCCTGGAATAGCTTGTTTCTTAATCCACTGTTTCCTATTCATTCTCCAGCTAATCTCAGCAATGAGCTGAAACTCATTCATCACCCTCGCTGAGTTTTCTTCTCAATCCTTCTTCCTAATCTGGTTCTAGAAGAGCCCTATCCACCCAGTGGTTCTATTTTGGTAGCCAATGTGGGACACAGGAGATTGGCAGACCAACACAGCTGGCCTATCTCCAGCCCTCCCTCCATCTCTAAATCACTAACAATCCATGTTTGCTCAGTTTGTTGACATATGGCATGTTCATTTGTTCACAACTTAATCATAGAACATTTCAGAAAATATGTACTGAGATAAGTTAAAACCATGTTAGTCTCATACAACTTGTACATTTTCCTTTTCTCTTATCAGTAGATTGTCCTGTTGACACAGTTCATGTTTGAGGACACGTATCAGCACACACACATTAAATGAATTGTTAGGCATGCAAAGAAAGAAAAAGGAATGAACCAAAATGACTGCAAATGAAGTAAATGTCATTTAAGCCCTCTAAAAAGGCATGCTTTGCTAGATATAGATCTGTTTTTCTTATGCTCACTTATTTTGATTTTCACATGGTTAATAATTCCTTAAAACAGTACCTGAAAAATAATGTATCATGTTCTTGACCCCCAAAGGACAATTTATTTAATTCTAGAGTAAGATCTTTCCCAATGAGATTTATTGTCAGAAATCCTTCACTTAATAACTTTTGCATATTAATATAGTACACCAAAACACAATTGCCTAGAGATGCTTTAGCTAATTTTTATTTATAAAGAGGACAACAATTTTGTCTTCATGGAACTTATTTTCAACAGGAATCAAGGAAGAAAATATTAATGCAAAGCTATGACTTAGAAAGTTATAGGGGCTACCTCTATACAGTACTTCTAAAGTAAAACATCTTGTCTCCAACTGGGCTGACAACATAGGGGACTTTCACGGTCTATGGATATGAATTCTTTAAGGATATAGCCCTTAATTAAGGTGTAAAAACAATGCATCTCTCGACCTTGATGTTTAGGATCTCTCCTGTCCACCCTCACTCCACCCCACTCCGCCCCACTCCAATGAACTCATCCTACATCTTTCAGCTGTAAGTTGGATAAGACAGTGGGTTTGAAGTTTAATAATACAAGTGGCAGTTCTAAAACACCAGGTTCTTTAGATCAGCCGAAATGAAGAGTGAGAAGTGAAAATTCCTCCACTAGTAATTGTTAGCTAATAGAATAGCCTCCCAAGCAGTCCCCACAGCACTTGGTTGCCATGAGTCTCTCTCCTCTCACTGCCCGACCCGGTGCCACGACGCCTGGGGCTTGTCTTTTCCATGGCATCCCCTGATTGACTTTTATATAGCAATCTCTGTGTCAAGTCAATAATATGATGCCTTTATAATAAGATGCCTTCCTAAAGAAGTAACTGCAACGTGATGATTATTGGTTTTTATAATACACAAAGCATTAAGTTTTTTCTTATCCTATTTTCTCTTTATTATTTTTTTTCCAAGTTTTGTCTGGAGACATTTATGTTAGAAGAAAAACTGTAAAGTTTTATCATTGTGGAGAACAGAGAGATCAAAGACAGCTGGACTGTACCTATTTGTATAATTATTTCTGATATTTTTAAGAAAAGAAGTTTAACAGAGTAACTCAGACTGAGACTGTTAAACTCTGTTTATGATAAACTCCATATTACACGATATAGGTCAACAGGTTAATTCCCTTCATGCAACTAAGATATTCTATTTACATTATTTGTATACTCTCTTAGTTTTTTGTGCAATTCCAAGTTTTAGTTGGAAAAATGAAAACTAAGCTACTACTTAAAAGTTATTAAAAACTTCACATAAAATATTTCATTTTAGCTACAAGTTATTCATTGCATAGGATTTTATAAATAGTCTGGGTATTTCATAGGAACTGCATTTCAAAGGAAAATTAATCAAACATTAAAAAAAAGGGGGTTACTTTTTAAACACATGAAAATAAAGAAGTTTCTTACTCAGTTGATAATGCCATTAAGGTAGGAATAATGCAGTTATATATACAAGCTGAAAAGGAAAAAGAATATATTTTGTGGTCCTTAATGTTTGATTGCAGCGTTGTTTCCCACAGCTTAGCCGTATCTATTTCTATGTATCAAGTATTAAG